ATGCTTATTTATTTTCCTTCCTCCAGGGAATGTTTATCTGAGTAAATGACCATAGGTCTGTTTGGAAAAGGACTGGGGGAATCCTTAAAATATATACCTGCTATAGAGATATAGGGCCTGTCTGTCCTGGAGGCCCTTTTTCAGCCAATGAATTCTGGGTTAGAAAATAGACCTAAGTTTGGGAACTTGGCAAGATACTGCAATTTTAAAAATTCATTTGGCAACCCTCAGCTCATCATCCTTGTTTCTTCCTTCCTTCCTCCTTCATTCTATCTCATTTTTCTCTTCCTTCTCTCCTTCCTTTCTTCTTTCTTTCCTTCCCTCCCTCCCTCCCTCCCTCCTTCTCACCCTGCCTTCCTCTGTTCCTTCATTCTTTCTTTATGTTTGCATAGATTGAAAAATATCCTTGTTGGCTATTTATCTTGTTACCGCTATGGTCTCTTTGGGTCTAGTCACCATCTTCATAGCTCTTTGCAGATCAAGCCCCTTTAGGTACTACTGTAAACTTGGTGCTCATTAAAATGCTTGTGCTTGTCTGCATCACCACTCAGCCTCCATGATTTTAGGGTTCTTGCCAGGAGGCTAAACTCTGTATCCTAGTAGGTTGTTTCCATATTAATATAATCTCCCTTATTCAGCTTTTTGTTATGTCCCTCCTGGATCCTACTCCCTGGAATCCAGTTCTAACAGAACCAACTTCCTAACTGCATATCTCATTATGTTGGAGATATAATTCCCCCTTATTCTCTCAGCAAGCCTAGCACTTCCAAGACCCGGCAATGTTGTGACTTAACCCTCAATATTGGTTTAGTCAACAGGAGAGGAGGAGGGGATATGTCCTGAGGGGCATATGTCTTGTCTGGAGAAAAGGCCTTTGCTTGTCCTCAAGCAGTGAGTTCTCCTTACCAGAAAGAGTCTTACTCTTTTTTTTTTGCGGTACGTGGGCCTCTCACTGTTGTGGTCTCTCCCGTCGCGGAGCCCAGGCTCCGAACGTGCAGGCTCAGCGGCCATGGCTCACGGGCCCAGCCGCTCCGCCGCATGTGGGATCTTCCCGGACCGGGGCACGAACCCGTGTCCCCTGCATCGGCAGGCGGACTCTCAACCACCGCGCCACCAGGGAAGCCCTAGATTCTTACCCTTAACAGCAAGAGTAAGGCATTTCTGCAAAGAGTTCCAGAGTATCCGGGAGTTCAAAATTTTCTATAGAAGTTCCTATCTCAATTTCAAGGTCCCATTTTTCCCAATCAGGGCCCTTACCCTGGTGTAGCTGACTTGCCTCGTTTGAGAATTTAACCTCTCTGGGAACTCTGCTTACACTTTTGACTAAATCGTGGGCATGGCTTAAACCTTCTCTGTCTGCCCGACTATTATAGTACTCTGAAGTTAAGATTTCTCCACCCCTTCTGTGACTGAATGCAACTCCTCTCACTTGGAAATTGCTGTGGCCCTGACCCTCCTTCATTGATCAACATTTCTGCCTCAAGGGAAATCAGATGAATCTCACTAGGAGCCCTCTATACTGGGTCACTGCCATAGCCCCTTATGTTCTTTGATTTGACCTTCATTGACTACTGCATGCTCTTCCTTGGTCTCAGCCTCTAGTGTTAAATCATTGAAGATTCTGAGGTCTCTATTTGTGGAATTTCACATTACTTTCCCAGAAGCACCATTGTGCCTGTGCTTAATCACAGACTGGTCTACATTTCCTTTACTCTGATGTCATCACCCCATATTTTTCAGGAAAAAATTTTTTTTAAGTTTCAGTACCTGTATAGATTTTTCTTATTTTTGAGAAGTGTTTCTCTGGGCAATTTAGTGGGATTGGAGGGAAAGAAGAGACATAAGTTAAAAAAATCATCTCAAATAATCAAGCTGAAATGGATGTCATATCACACTCAAACATGGGGTTATGATAAACTTCACTATTAATATGTTTGATGTGTTTTCTTTTTTCTAAGTCACATTCATTCTGTGAACTGGAGCTAGGACTATTCTTACTTCTGCTATAAGATTAGGGTATATATCTTCTATTCTCCACAGAGATATAAAAATTACCTGTTTCACATTTTAAACGATGGTTTGAAAATTATTTAAATCGTGACTACTAAGTAAAAATATTGATTTTTTTTAAGAAATCGGGAGAATGTGGTGAGGATGAAGTGTCTGTATACAAAGGAACTCAAAAAATGAAAAGAAATTGCAAAATATGATTAAAAAAACCATGTGCTTTCAAATCTTGGGGAAAAATATCAGCGAAAATAGCTGCAATAATTGAATAAAGTTACTAAAGAGCAGTACATGCAGAGCAGGGGAGTGATGGGATGGAGGATGGCAGGATTTCAATGTACACCTTAAGTATAATTTGTGTTTTAAATGACGTATACATGTTACCCTGATAAGAGTGAAAATAAAATAAAACCTAGTAGAATTCTATAAAAATAAAATCACTGGTCTTAATAATATAAGAAATGGTACAAAGAAGCTTTAAATATGAACGAAGGATACCAGGAATTAAAACATTTAGGTTAAAAATTTACATGCCAGGGCTTCCCTGGTGGTGCAGTGGTTGAGAGTCCGCCTTCCGATACGGGGGACGCGGGTTCGTGCCCCGGTCCGGGAAGATCCCACATGCCGCGGAGCGGCTGGGCCCGTGAGCCATGGCCGCTGAGCCTGCACGTCTGGAGCCTGGGCTCCGCAACGGGAGAGGCCACAACAGTGAGAGGCCCGTGTACCGAAATAAAAAAAGAAAAAATTTACATGCCAAATTTATGTACAGTGTTTAAGTCAGCCTAGGGCATCTGTTTTAATTATTGGGACAAAACTTTCAAGCAAAACTACATAATTAAAGTGCAAATATGAGGCTCTTCCTTCAATCAGTGTCCCACTCTACAATTATTTGAAGATGTGCTAATTAATTTCGCTCTTGGCCTCTAAAGACCAGTATTTTGCACACTCTATGTAAATTTAAATGACAATATAAAAGACACTATCAGTATCTCTAAAATTATGAAATCATTTTTGAACACTAAGGAAGGACCACATTTTAGGGTTTTTTTTTTTTTTTTTTTCTCAATTTTTATTTAGAAAGTTCAGTGAAACAATATGGTATCACAGTTTAGAAATATTTTAATCTCACTATAATTTAACATTAAAAAACTAGTAATTTCTGATTTTCAACAATGAAATTTATAAAAATAATTTTACATTTATAAAATGAATCATTATTTCACAATAAATTATTCTTTTTTATTACCTGAAAAAAGGTTTGTGCTATATAAAAGCAATAACTTTGCTTATCGACATTTTGAAGATATGCTGAAAACTTCAGTTCCCCTTTGTCCAGCATGTTTGGCAGTTAAGTATACAAAAATATTATATTACACATTCCCTGACCATAGTATTTAAAACAAATTTGTTAGCAATAATTTCTAAAACATGGCTGTTTAGTAAATATATGCAGATAAGTTAGAAGGTTCACTAAAAATGAATTATATGTTTTACAATCTAAAGATTTTTTTTTAATGTCTTCTGAGAGAACAACACAAAAAATTAAACAGAAAACTACAAAATATATTTCCATTTATAAAAATCAAAAGCATTCTTATTCATGAAATAGAGATACTAGCGTAAATTTTTTTTAAAATGAGTTAATTCTTTTTTCTGTCCTCACTCTCTCTCAAAGATATATTTTTCAGTTTCCAGGTACCAGCTCTGCAAGGAATTTTATTGATTCTATTAAATCAATGATAGCTTCTAAGTAATCATTTTTCCTTTTTAAGAGTTAATAAGTTAGTTACAGTTAACACAAGCTTTTTATTTGCAGGGTAAGTGGGGGGCTATGAAATCATAATCATAGAAATTTTGAAAGGTTCTGTAAAAATCATTGAATTCAGCCTCTTGCAGCTTGGAGAACCCTTTTTATGTCATTAATAATTACTAAATCAGTTTTCCCCTGCTTCAGCAAATGAAGTGTGTGTGTGTGTGTGTGTGTGTGTGTGTGTGTGAGAAAGAGAGAGGGAGGCATCACTGTTTCTTGAGGCAGCCTGTCAATCGTTTTAAATGAGCTCCAGATTTAGATAATATCAAATTGTCAAATAGTTTTGGGCTCCAATGAACTACATTCCTCAGTCCACTGGATTTTTTGAAAATGTGCTGAGCCACTGATTTAAATTTGTCTTTGCTTTCATCATAACCTACCTGTTATATATTTTAGATTCCTTAAAAGTACAAAAGTGGTTTCTTATTCATGTTGCAACAAATTTACACTCATTTACATGTAAATATGTGTTAACAGGTAACACAATGGATAATATTCAATCATCACTCAATTGCATATATTTAAAAACCACAGTAAGAAGCTCACATTTTCATTCTATACCAAAGATTTAATCTCCTTAAACCAGACCTGGACTTGAATATGGCTCTCCTACTTTTTAGGTTAATGAACTTTGGTTACATTATTGAAACCCTCTAAGCTAAAGGTTTCTTCCCTTTACAAGAGAAAGATAATAATACCTCTCTTACAGGGTTGCTCTGAGGATTAAATGAGGCAACACGTGTGTGACAGATGGCTACTTTGTCTCCCGATAGCAGAAGCCCAGTGATATACAGTTTTTGTTGGCACAAGGCTTTCTACCTAACACTCCCAGCCTCCCCGAGAACAAGATGGGGGCATGGGCTAAGTTCTAGTCAATGGATGTCTGCTTCTAGATTGTTTTAGGAAAGGGAAATAAATGTCTGTCTTGGTTGAGCCACTCTTTTAAGAGTTTCTTTTTTACAGTTTAACCTGTATCCTAACTGATAAAACTAACATGTTTTATTTTAACATACATCTTCAAATATAGGCAGATTTCAAGGAATACCCCAGTCATCTATGGAATGCCTATTTATAATTTTCTAAACTTTATATAGGCATATTTAACTGTGGGCCAAAAAGATACTTCTTAGCCACGGGATACCCATAAGTGATTTTTCTTCAAAGAAATATACCCTATTCTACACTGACTGATTTATTTTTTGAATTTGCAAGTTTAAAATTTATTTAAAAACTTGGTTCATTTAATATTAATCTGGGATTTCTGATCTACTGTTCACAGTCAAAAAAGAATACTTAGCTCTGCATCACATCACCATAAGCAATTATTTACAGATTTAAATTAATAATAAGACAACAAATGAAAGTAGTACATAAGATTCAACTGGTTCATGCACAGTACAAGTTTATACTATATAAACGTATTGAAGCTCAGATATACATTGGTTGCATCTAAAGGTTTTAAACAATAGCAACAACAAACAAAATGAGCATATAAACAAGAAAACAGGATACCATCTTATAACAGCACCATGAAGAAGCCTTGGCTAAGAGTTTGCCAAAAGTGCTATCCTGAGATATTTCAAGACCAACAACTTTTCACATTTATGCAGTGCCGTTCAGAAGTAAACATATTCTCACAGTTGCTTCTGTTTGGAGAGAGGCTGGTGTGAAATGACTGAAGCTTGATTTGCAGCTATTTTGTACGGTTCTTGTCCAGAGCCTTGAGGTGGGGAAGGAAGTGGGGTTTCTGGAGTTGCTAAAAAAAGAATCAGAGAATTGTATGTAATGGTGACAGTCACCTTGGCCCATCCCATTAAGTCCTTCATGACATCAATATGCATTACTTTATTTTGGATATGTTTTTAAAAGATCATATATAAAGTAGTGATTATAATACATTATCAGGTCATTGACATACTATTGGAGATGCACTCCCATCTTACTGTCCCAATTAGCATTAAACTAAATCATACTTAAAAATCTTGACAGTCACTTTAAGGTGTCTTCTGACTTTCTTAATAGCATTTATGAACTCTGATTCTCTCATAAACCCAGCAGAAAAAAAGTTAAAATGAAAAGAATTAACAGAAAGCTAGTTTTTGTATATTTTTTATACAATATAAATTTTATATTGTAAATCAAAATTGCAATCAAAAAAGCACATAAAATAAAACATATTTGGTTTAGATTTTACTAATTCAAACATTAGATGACATAAAAAAATTAAGGTAAGATAACTTTTCAAGTGCTTTGAAATCTATGTTGTAGTTAAAAGCATCTAAAAAATACTGGCTTTGTCACTTCCAAGTTATTCTATTACAAATACACTTGGCGGTCCCTTCCCTGTCAATGCAAAGAGCACTGAGTAATTTAAAAAAATGAGTTACAGTTTGAATAATTCATTGCTGATAACAGTATTTCTTTCTATTGACAAATTTTAACCATATTACAAAATAATCTAGAAGCCATTCTATAATTGTTAAAAGCTTGAAATATTTTAGCACTCACATTATTATTCCGTATATTTAACAGAACAAATAGAAAATGTTTAATGATCAGACTGAGGCATTGCAAACTTCTTAGATTTTTTTTTCCCAGTTTTTAAAAATTCCATACAAAATGAGAACAGTCCCTTTTTGCCTGGTTTTCTTTAATGTATTAACTTTATATTATTAAGTGTGAATTAGCAGTTACTTAGAAACAATGTCTTTAGATATAATTTAATTGACAAAAGAATTACCAAATTTGCTTTAAAAATTATTCCTGGATATTTAGGATGGATCTAACACTCAAGTAGTCTGCTCTAAAGGACCAAGAAAATATGCATGAACTTAAATATGTATGTGTATAATATAAATGTGTTATATATATAACACATACACATATAATATAAATGTGTATGCTTGTGTTTAATATTTTGCTTTGTGTAAAATATAAACTGTTCCAAATGAGCACAAGCAAAGCAAAATTTTCCTTTACAAATGAATTTCTTAAATATTATGTTGAGAGAGGGAAAATAAAAATAAAAAGTGTGATGATGTGATTCTAAAAATGTTAGGGTCAGCAAACATGCTTTTAAAATACTACAAAGCTAGCATTTAAAAAGTAAACGATTGGGCTTCCCTGGTGGCGCAGTGGTTGGGAGTCCGCCTGCCGGTGCGGGGGACGTGGGTTCGTGCCCCGGTCTGGGAGGATCACACATGCCGCGGAGCGGCTGGGCCTGTGGGCCATGGCTGCTGGGCCTGCGTGTCCGGAGCCTGTGCTCCGCAGCGGGAGAGGTCACAGCAGTGAGAGGCCCACATACCGCCAAAAAAAAAAAAAAAAAAAAAAAGTAAATGATTTAACCACCAGCAGAATTGTTAAACTTTCTTGTCAGTTGATACCTACAATGTTCAATATGTTGTTAATGTGCTTTATTTTCCAAGTTTATGAATAACTGATCTCTAAGAGACACAACTTCCTAGACTCTTTGGTATGGTATTGGGCTTGCCTCTCTCTGCTCTAGACTGTTAATTAAATGAAAGTGGTAACATCTGCTTTGCAAGAATGGTCCCAGTATGGTTCCTCAAAAAATTAAAACCAGAACTTCCATAGTATCCAGCAATTCCACTCCTGGGTATATATCTGAAGAAAACAGAAACGCTAATTTGAAAAGATACATGCACCTCAACGTTCATAGCAGCTTTATTTACAATAGCCAAGATATGGAAGCCGCCTAAGTGTCCATTAACAGATGAATGGACAAGGAAGATGTGAAAAAAATATATAGAGATATATTTATATATATATTGAATATTATATATTTTATATATCATTTATATATATATGAATATTACTCAGCCATAAAAAAGAATGGAATTTTGCCACTTGCAACAACTTGGATGGACCTGTAGGGTATTATGCATAGTGAAATAAGTCAAACAGAGAAAGACAAATACTGTATGTTTTCACTTATATGTGGAAACTAAACAATAAAACAAAGGAATAAATATAACAAAACAGAAATAGACTCATAGATACAGAGAACAAACTAGTGGTTACCTGTAAGAAGTTGGGGAGAGGGAAGGGGAAGACACAAGAAGGGGATTGAGAGGCACAAACTACTAGGTATAAGATACAAGGATGTGATGTACAACACAGGGAATATAACCAATAACTTTAAACGGAATATAATCTATAAAAATATTGAATCAACATGTTGTACACCTGAAACCAATATACCATCATAAATCAACTGTACTTCAAGGAAAAAACAGAAGAGAATGTTCCCAAACTAATGTCTTTCAACTACATTGGGACCTACAGATTAAATGTGCTATAGTATACATCATTTGTATTTTTTTCTAACAATTTCATTTCTGCCTCTGTCGTATACTCAAAGAACTTTGTGTTTCATACACTATTTACACATGGATCTACCAGTGTGTGTATCTAAAGAACAGCAGTGATAGCATGCATTTCTGTGGATTCTACTCTCCCTACCACTAGGTAGCAGTCAGATGGAATGGTACTCACTTAATTTTGTTGCATTGCACTGAACATTTGGGTAAAACAACACTGTAGCTAGTTATTAAGGGCAATTGTAAATTCAGTAGGCAATGCTGGTACCCATAATAATTATATGACAATAACTGAAGGCATCTCAGTGAGGTAGCTGGTTTAGTGTTCAGAGGCAATAGATCAAAAGTAAATCTGGAATTAATTAGTATGAATTCAGAAGCAATTAATTCTAGATATTTTTGTCAAATAGAGATTTTTTTAATCTCCAATGCGACATATAAAAATAAAATTTGTGTTAAATCTGCAATAATATCAGATTAACTATCTACTAGCAATCCCTAGTATTTATATAGTCACTTTAGTTCCAAAGTTCCAAAGCAGCCCACGTTTGGCACAATTATGATATACACGAATGTCAGTTATCACAGCTTTGTTAAATAGCACCAGTCTTTCGAAAACATGATTCAAATTTCACTTAGCTTGCTAACTCTAATTAACTGTGAGTATTGCATAAACTCACAAACTTCACTGTGTTACAAACTTCACTGATAACTCTTCAGTCTACAAATAATTACCTAAAATATTAGATGTGCATTTTGATCAGTGACCAATCACATCACATCCTTCCTTCTGTCCATGATTATTCAATGAGCATATTTCCTTCAGTTCATACACTGACAACAAACTGTGTAGTTGTGTTGCCTCCTCATCTCCCTCTCAGTGACAAATCCACATGACAATTTGCAAAAATGGACAACTGAAAAGAGAATTGGCCAAAAGGGGAGAATGTGCAGTAAAGAAACAAAAAGTGATAATGTTGGAAATGAAATTCAAATCGAACATAAATGGAGTTATAGAAGAAAGAGCTGACGATGGAAATGTTGACACTACCATTGTTTGAGTCCCTAAAAATTCAGCCAAGAACTTAGTGAAGGAAAGCTTGTCAACAGAAATGAGGAACTAGTTGCACTGAAAAGGTTGAAGAGGTCCCAAAGGGAGTGAAACTGGCAAAAAACTTCACATCAAATGGATTCTCAGAGATATTTTAGGACATTAAAAATGCAAAGGATAAAATGTTGGAAACTGACCCAAACTTCCAAAAGAGTAAAATCCATCAAAGATGGTCACTTCCTCTTGTAAGTCATTAGAAGAGAACATGGCAAGCAGTGTTTAAACTACTCTTCATATTTTTTTACAAAAAAATAAAACACATTAATTCTCAGTGTTATTAATATTTTAAATTATGGTACACTAAGAGTTAAAACTACTATTTTTTTTTAGTTTCCCTATACATTTATAACCTATAGCTAAAAGAGTTCTTGATGTTTTGACAAATGTATTTAAAGGTCACAAGCAATCATAATTTTCCTGTTGATTATTAAGATTCCTTTGCATGGTTCCACCTTGTATAGTCATTTTTATGGTCCTGTACTACCAGGCAAAGCTAGGACATCCTGTATGTTCTTTTGTGCTCCTAAACCTATGAATAAGAAAGATTTAGTACTTACATCTCCATTTTAGGGAGAAAACTCATACCTAAGAAGAATAAGTGACTTGCTTCACAATCTCCCACAATTAAATCTTGGAGAAGAAATTATATCCAATTTTTATAATTTCTGGGCACAAATAGATTCTTTCCCCAAATTCCACCTTTTCTCAGGTAATTAAGTTTAAGAAATACTATGTTTCAAAAGTAGCCCTGGGGGCTTCCCTGGTGGCGCAGTGGTTGAGAGTCCGCCTGCCGATGCAGGGGACATGGGTTCGTGCCCCGGTCCCGGGAGATCCCATATGTCGCGGAGCGGCTAGGCCCGTGAGCCATGGCCGCTGAGCCTGCGCGTCCGGAGCCTGTGCTCCGCAACAGGAGAGGCCGCAACAGTGAGAGGTCTGCGTACCGCTAAAAAAAAAAGTAGCCCAGATACTTACAGATCTGGTCTGTATGAACCAGTGTTGACATTGGACCCAAAAGTATAGTTTGTCCAGTTAATGGATCTTGAGATAAATGTGGGTGCATTGGATGATGGAGATGGTTAGCCTCACTGGAAGTACCTACAGAAGATAAAAAGATGCTTACATTAGTGATATTTAATCAGGAACAGCAAGTTTACCTTGGAACAATTGTTTTGATTGACAGCTTGAATATTGCTATTTTTGCAAAGTGCTTTTTGGAAGTTCAAAAATAAATTAATAGAGCCACTGCCATGTTAAAGACAATGTCAGCTTTCACTGTACATTGGTTAGATTAATGTTGTGTCATATTATGTTGTATATTAATAATGGACCTTCTGTGCAGTTTCCTGGAATCATTAGGTTTGCTGCCTGTTGTTAAGTCAATTCCAAGAATCACTTACCTTAAGTTTACAGTATTTGGGATCACCCTACTAGCATAAACAACTTTTATTTCAGAAAGATATCATTAGAAACACATTAAGCACTAGAAAACTAAAATTATACTAAATTAAAATAAAGTGATTTTATAAGGAAATTTAATCTAGATCAGAATACAAAATAAATGATTTCTTAAGTTATTCCTGACATCTACTGCAGCAATGAAATCTCATTTTTCCCTTTTCATTGTGTTGTGTCAGTTAATTACTTCAGGAGCACAATGTTTATTTTTAAAGTATTTACTATATATATTTTTTGGTTTTGTTGCAATTCCGATATCCTTGAGCTTTTAGAGGAGTCAAGGCATAGAAAAATATAATATACTCCAAGAAGTACTAACAATAGGAGATATAGTTCTATTTACCATATTTGGGAGGATCTGAAAATTGAGGAAAGAGGGACAGGGTAGAGTAAAGATGGTGGAGGTGAGTACAAATGGAGGGGAGGTTTGAATGTGTTCAAGTATTTCTGTTCCCATCCAATGGGTTTTGCAGACTTTCTAAATATAAAATACTGAGTTCATTACATCATGGACAAAAGGTAAATAGGTCAAGTTGCTCTAAAGTACTGTAGTATGATGTTAATAAATAAAATAGAAATTCTTAAATATACTCACCACCCAGTAACATCTCCTGAAGTAAGTTGTCGATTTTAACCATCCCAAAAAGTTTAATGAATTGTATCTGCTCAATCATTTGCCAAGTGATGCTCTGCAGCGTGGGCAGGAGTAGAAGCAGTTCCCCAAACCTGCCCCGGGAGTCGTACTGCCTGTCGTTGATGTAGTCCTCCAAACTCAGCTGCACTTGGAACCGCATGTTCTTAATCTTTACTGGATCACTTAGCCCTTTTGCATCTAATAAAGGAATAAAAAGGGCAATCTAAATACTTAACCTTACTAGAGTGTAACAGAAAATATTCTAGTATTTAAAAAGTAGTTTAATTTTCACTGCAATTATTTTTAATGGATCTTTGGAAACAAACCTGGATCAAAAAATACAATTGCCTTCAAACAAGCATATTCATTGTCATCAATCTGAATTTCTTGAAATGGTCGGACCAGCTCGTCTAGAACCCGGTTGGCCACACGGCTAATCTCAACTTCACTGCTGTTGCGGTGAATAATGTAATTGTTTCCTAGGTAAAAAAAATAAAATAAAATAATCACCCTCCTCACACACACAAAATTGTCAGACTTTGCTTAATTTTTTACAAACCAATATTTTAAATGGTCTTCCCTTGAAGAGACAGGAATAGTACTTCCTCTTTCAAGAACATTGTTAGTTATGTTAGAAAAACTTTAGAACACTTACAGGATCAATGACATTGATAATATGATCACATGCATTTTAACAGCCTCGGTCACTTGTGATAATACTAAAGTACAGACTAATAGCAAGCTAATTATTGACAAGGGAGAAACAAGATATAATGATTAGCTTTCCACTATATCAGTTATCTATTGGTGTTTTACTCATTAATGAGCATATTACAAAACCTAAAGAATCTCTCTTGCTTACAGTGAACTAAAAATGGCATTCCTCTAGTGGTCTAGGTGTATATACATGTAACAACTACTGAGACACAATTTTAATAAGCCTAAGTAGACGAGGCTGATTTTTGAAAATTAGCACGTATAGTCTCATGAGTTGCCTCATTAAATAGTAAATTCTCTCTTCCTGGACTTGTTTAAGTAGAGGCGGGACGATCACTTTACAGGGCTGTATTCAAAGGAGTTCAGAAATTGGACAGAGAACTGGACCACCTAATCCCTAAAGGCATTCTACCTTAGAAAGTCTCGGGCTATAATATGATACTATTATAGCTTCTAAAACATTAGAAAATTGGAAGCTTATTTTAGCCCCTAAAATAGCTGCTAAATTTTTATTTTCTGGTTTTATAAAAAACAGAATAGGGCTTCCCTGGTGGCGCAATGGTTGAGAGTCAACAAACCAGAATATTTTGACTTCTTTCACTGCAGGCAAAGACAATCTTCAGTATAAATAATAATGTGCAATAATAATAATGTGCAAAATTATTCAAAAAATGTAGCCCTGCTCTTCTTATGAAAAGTTAAAGTACCTAATTATTTAGGGTAAAACAATTTAGAACTATGTAGTAGAACTGTTTTGATTTCTATGTATATTGTATTCACATTTATAATGAGAACACTATTGCAGGGGAACTAACAATGCAAGAGAAAGTTTAACAGAATTTAAAAGCAGTCATATCATGTGGTTTAGAATCCTGGCTCTATCCCTTACTTGCTTTGTGACCTTAGGTAAGTTTTCTTGGCCTTCATTTCTTCACCTACGAAACGGCTGAAAATAATAGTACATATCCCTCAGGGTTATTGTGAAGATTAAATGAGAGAGTGTATATATAAACATGTAAAGCACTTAAAGCAATGCATCGTACATACTAAGTCCTCAGTAAATATTAGCTATTGTGATATTATGTTCAATTTATTTATATTTGGGACAAAATATCTATCACAAAAATGGAATAAGACAATTTAATCATCATTTCACACAGCCAGAGGGAGGCAGAGCTTATAAACATTAGAGGAATCTCAAATATCCCAACAGGAAACCTAACTTTATACGTTAAGTAGGGGATCAGGGTACTTCCTTAATGAAGACACAAGCTTTTCCTTTGTGTCTTATCCCACCTACCATCCTACTTTTGTGTGTTATAGCACTGCTCTTTAACTCTCAGAATTTTTCAGACATTGTCACAAAAAATTTTTTTTAACTTGGGGTTCTGTAGCATATCATGGGCAATGAGATCATAGGAGATAAACACGTTCCTTAGAAGAGTATAAAATAATATATACTATAATTATTAGGTAGACACTGAGAGTGTATGAAACAACACTGGGACTCCATAAGATGGTGACATAAATCACTAACTCTTTGTCCTGATATGATTTAAACATACCTCAATGTTATGTTTATTGAGCAACATCTTTTATTTTTAAATCTTAGTGCACCCTGAACATCCACGCTGAACTTCCCTGAATTAACGGCAAGGAAAAACAGGGCTTGAGTGAGGACCTGACCAACTAAGTCCAATTTGTGAAGTGACAGAACCATTTGGCAGTGTCTATGAATGCCTGGTACATAGAGAATAGGCCCCATGGAAGTATGAAGCATGCATAATTTTTTCTCAAATTAAAAAAAAAACCTTACCCAAAAGCAAAATATCTTTATACACCATGGATCTCTTTGTAGCTCCAAGCAGTAAATGTTCCCCTGCGTGAGCTCTCAACAGTGCCACCTTAATGAAAAATTCCAAGTTTAACAATTAATTATAAAATATAATGATTAAAAGATTATATAAGCCTGATTAACTTAGTATTCTTTAAGACTGGGACTTTTTTTGTTTTAACAACTACAGTATTCATAGATTCTTGCCATGATTAAGGCTTCCATTTTTCTACTTTTAGCATATCAACAGAGTTTTACTTTTCAAAATTTCTAAAACTAACAAGTCAATACAATGGCAGCAAAAAAAAAGAAAAAGAAAAAGAAAAGCAGAAGAGTTTAGTGTTTGGGAGTGAATGATGTTTGGGCATAGAGTCAAACAAACCAGAGTTCAAATTCCGGCTTGGCCACTTACTCCTCTTTAAACTTGGGTTAGCTGACCACCAGTGTGTTTGGGACTCATTTGTTTTCATCTATCAAATGGAGATAGTGATAAAAATCTGAAAGTGTAGCTATGAGGAGTAAAGGAGAAAATATATGTAAAACAAGATCTCTTATACATAATCAACTGAATAAACAAAAGGAAAACAAAGATTGGTGATATAGCGAAATGAGTATGGGGGATCTGGGTTCTGACACTTTCTAGATTGAACCTTTAACTCTGCACTAAGCTCTCAAAGGAGCGCCATTGCCTGCTGAATATCACCAGTAGGAAGACTAGGAAGCATTTCAAATTTAACACATCAAAGTAATGCTTCTCCAACATCTTCATCTCCTTAGTAAATGGCACCATCATCCAAATGCTTTTTCACACCAAAAACAAGGGTCTATTTGGATCCCTCTCTCATTGTACAGCAAATCCTAGTGTTGCTTCTCCATTGCTAAGGCCCCTGGCCAAGCCTTGGTCATTCTTCGCCTGGCCCACCAAAATACACTCCAAAGAGCTACTAGGTATTCCTGCTTCCTTTCTGGTTCCTCCATCCTAAGTCCTTCTTGCCAGAGCTTCTACGATGATATCTTGTAATAATAATAATCACTTAATATCACTCCTCTGCTAAAAACTCTTCACTGGTTTCTTACTGTCCTTAGAATAAAACCCAAAAACCTCAACCATGGCCTACCATGAGGTTATGGCTCAATGCTTTTGCCCCCCTGCCCACGTCCCTGGTTTCATCTTACAACATCCTTTGCTCACTTTTCTCCAGGCACACTATGCCTGCCTGCCTCAGAGCCTTTGAACTTGCCTCTCCTGTACCCAGAATGCTTTCTCCTCAGATCTTGACATGCTTAGCCCCTTGCCACTCAGGTCTCAAGAAAAATCTTCTTTAATCCCCAATTTAAAGGATCTGCTACCACTCCACTCCCAGTCATTCTCCAACAACTCATCCCATTTCATTTTATAGAACTCTTCCCCACCTAGAATTAACTTACCCATTATCTGTATATTTTTATGTCTGCCTCTCCCAAATAGAATGCAAATTTTATGAGAATAGTGATGTAATCTGTATTTTTACTGCCAGATACTCACAGTTCCTAAAACTGAACAGTAATCCTAAGAAATATTTGTTTGATGAATACACTGAGTGAATTTAACTGATATATGGTTCAGTTTTAAAAGCTGTTAAGTTTTTAAAGAGATTATAAAACTTATGCCACAGAGCTCCCGAGAGTATTAAATAAAATAATGTAATATGTAATGCATTTGAAGCCCGAGTGCCTTATCCATAATAGACATTCACCAATCCATGGCTATTAATGTTATATTAAAGTGTCAGTTAGTAAATGAAAACTATTATTGACAAGTTACAGGATTTCAATTTCCCAATTTTAAATCATTGTCTTAATACATGTCAGCAACTTTTTTAAAAAAAAGAGTGGTAATAAAAATATAAAACTGATAAATAACATAACCCTACTTATATGGCTTGGGGTGAGACAAGTAAGTTTTAGCAATTTAGCATTATTCACTCTGAAATAACCTTCTGAGCCAAGCTATCTTTATGATATGTCCACAACCATGACTCATACCAGGAAGGGAGTTACAGAACATGTTAAGAATGATTTCAGATTTCACAGTATTTTCTTTTTGTAACCAGGTGAAATGCTCTCCTAGAAATATAACTGCTAACTTTCTGTGATCACTTATTTTCTGGTTATATATATATTTTGCCCTTCTTTGATTTTTAAACAATCATGTACTTTTCCCTTTGATTGTTTCTTTGTCTTTGTTTATCAGTGATAAAGAGCATTGGTCAGAGGGTATAAAAATAGACACTGGTTATATTATATATCATGGTTTATTTAACCTGGGGGAACTGGAAATTTTCAAATTATTTACATCTACAGAATATTATATACTACTTAGAAGAGTTAAAAATGAATCTGAAACTAATAATCTAATCTTTATAGACTAATTAGAACATTAAACTTCTTAACTACTTTTTTTTTTGTTAAGAAAGTGGATTGCTTTATTAGAAACAGTGAATATAAAAAGGAGATTGATTTCAGGTAAGAACTCTTTAAAAATATTTCAAGACTATACAAGTAAAAACTTTTTACAAAGATGTTCAGCATTCCTTTTCCCTTGGTTCATTTTAAAGAACCTAAATATTTTATTTACTTCAAGACATCAAAACGTTAGACTGCTGGTGAGTTAAGCTCCTTGAGATAATTCAAAATATCAAATATCTCAATTTTGAGAACTTATATATTTGATGCTAGTAATTAAAACATTATATTATATTGATATACTTTTTTTTTTTTTTTTACTGATTTGAATACAGTATGTTGATAATCTGAAGTGTAAGGTCACTTGAGAAATGAGATCAGCTAATTTTTTTAACTTTCAAGTCGTATTTTAGCCACTAAGTTCTGTTACAATTCTGCAGGTTTAAAGAAAAAGTCAGATTAAGTCTCATCAGTGCCCCTACTGCTGGTCATTTTTATGGGTAACTAGAAGTTTCCCCCTCCCTCTAGAATAGTCAAGGTTTATAGACCTGTTAACACTGATTAAATGGCAGTACTTTCCAGTATGTTTACATTTACAATACATAATGTAATAATAAATATAAAACGGATAAACTTGAAGGTTGCTTACAGGTTAATTTATCAGACAAACTCCAATGTGCATAACCTTGCAGAAAGTCTGGGGAAAATTAGAGTTCATAAACTGTGAAAGGTAGAGACAAGTGTCTTAGCTACTTCTTTAAACATATTGGAAAGTGAACTTTTAACTATTAACTAAAATATCTTAATATACATATGACAAAGTATGAAAATGTCTATATTAGGAAAAGATCACTACCTCTGAATTCTATTTTCAGTAGATTTCAGAACACAATTCTACAGACTTTTTTTTTTACCAGATTTATACTTTTTATACAGTAAATGCTAGAATAAAACTGACAACATGAAAGGCACAATTTTACATGTTAAGTGCATAAAAGTGCCTACAAAGACACCAACACAACCTGTGTGGTTTCTGTCTAGAAGTGGCCTGGTATTTCTGAAGAATTTTATATGCACGTTTAGTAAACACTAACACACAGTGGGGTACCATTTGCCTTACAGACATTTATTCTTCCAATACTTTATCTCACAATGGCAGTTATCTACTACCTGTCTTTCTCCCTTACTTAAGCTTTTTAAACTTCAGGAGGGAAGAACATAGGCTTGATCAACCCTCATCCTATCAATAAATTTGTAAGACCCCTAAAATAGAATTTAAACAGTCTGTCTCTCAGTAGACTGTTTAACTTCAAGGAGAATGAACAAGAAAACCAATCTTTCTCTCAGATAATTTAACCTTTGTCCAATATAGTAAATCTACTATAAATATAATTAAAAGAACTGAAAAACTTAGCAAAGTTCAAAAAACATTTTTTTAAAGCATTCATAATCTCTTTAAATTATACCTGATCATCCAGTGGTAACTCACAAAAGGCAGGAATATATTTAGCCCATTCCACCAAGACTAAGAGCTGCTGTTTCATGGATTCACAGACATCACCAATACTGGCAATTTTCTTAATATTTATGTCAGTGCTCACACCAGGGCTTGAGACTGAGATCTAGCATTAAGAAGAACATTATATTAATTCATCACTGAACATAACACAAGACCACTATTTCTCTTTTTTCCACAACTGCAATAAGTAAGCCCCATTGAAGTGGGCACTATCATTGTCACAGTATCTTGAAATATACTAAACATTTAAAATTGAGAAATCAAATACCTATCAATTCAAGTTAAATTGACAACATTCACTGCACAGCACCATGGTCTGGGAGTACTATCTTATTTTCTGGCCAAACCTGTAAAATAAGTTACCACAACTTTCAGGGAGTTTCATAATTCAAAATGACTATACAAAGAGCTATGGAGTATCCACATGAACTATGTTGTATGATTTTATTTTTAATTGAAGATGATAGTTCCATTAAGAAAGCCCATCTTTAATTTGTTGTAATTTAGGAAGGAAAGTTTCCATTGGATAAAGTTTACCAACTGAGGAGAAAAGATTTAGATGAGAAGTTGCTGCATTTAATGGAAACCCACCCAAATAAAGTTAAGAAACCAATCTTGGACTCAGCAAGTTGAAAATCTCAATGTATAATGATAAATTTTTTAAATGACATATAATTTTGAACTATCTAAGATATAAGTAGTGTTCAAATGCCTTTCTGCTGAAAAAAATCACTTTCTAAAAGTTCTTCTAAACTTAATTTTTGAACATGTGTGTGTGTGTGTGTGTGTGTGTGTGTGTGTGTACATGTCTTTCTGCAGTGTATGTCTATTTCCTCACAGTTCCTTTCAGGGCATTCTCGAAATACTTTATAGGACCATCAAGTAATCTTCACGTAATGATGATGATAATGGTGATGTTAACTTCATCATTTACCCTTGTGTTATCAAAAATGAAAGTAGTTGCATTGACTCATTATAGAACCTGATTAATAGCTATTTCATTGTTTGCTTTATAATAGAAAAATACCATTAACATTTCTAATATGGGCAATGGTAAAACAAACTTTCTTCAAAAGGTTTCTTTATTTGATTCTTAAGTGATTTACTTTTATTTATATAACTAATCACTTATATTTTTAACTTTAGAACTGATATCCTCATTCTAGAAATTTCAAATAATAAAGTTTCTCCTGTGTTTTCTAAATTCTGGTTCTTCCCTTAAATACCTGTTTCCAAAGCAGATTTTAAGGTGAGTTCTTGAATCTAGAAGTCATTTTCAAGGAAGGAAGCTCTAATGATAGGCCTCAACTAAACACCCCCAAAGCTGTGATAATTGATTTCCAGATTCAATCAGTAAAACAAGATACTGCTCCCAGGGCATTGTGCTATGCATTAAGTATTTTAAATCAACCTTGCAAACAAACTTTTAACACTCAGACTGAAATGCATTTAATTTTTCCATTTAAAAAGTAGGAACTTGCCTAAGAAAAGTTAAAATTGAGTCAACAGTCCAACTAATATTTTCAAAGTAAAATTCTTCAATTTGCATAGGTGTAATTTATTATAGTAATGAGCACATTTGAATGAACTTAAATCATTTTAGTATTATGCCTAAATAAACATCTGATTCTATTAAACAGGGCTGGATGCTGGTGCAGCAGTAATGCAGCAGTACCTGGCGAGACCGAACTTCTGCTTGTGCCAGTGTGTTAATGGAGGGGATGTTGCTGCCATCAAATGTGCTTCTTCTGGTGCTTATTCTATCACGTTCGTTTTGCACAGCTAGGGGAGAAAATCACAGTATTTACTGGTCGGTTTTCTTCGATATATCTCAGAATATACGGTTTGAAGTAAAAACAACGTTACTATAAAAGGAGAAATGGGATGCCTCTAAAAGACCTTGGAGGGGGGTGCTTGAGGCAGGGAGAAAAGTATGACTGAAGGTATGTTTCATTCTGTACCATTTTTAAAGTAGAAAGAGCCAGGCTTGTCACTACAGTTCATAAAATACTGCCTTTTGGAACTTCATGATGGCACTCATGCTAGAAAGTGTTGGGTCAGCCAGTTCAGCCATGCTGTATTTTTACGAGGTTGGTTTTCCATTCTCTCAAAGTTAATAAAACCATAAGATAACTAGAGGAAGAGTACAACCTGTGAGATTGACCAGGTCAAAGATAAGAGTGTATTCGCTGTCAGAAAATATGAGTCATACATTTTGAAACTCCCATTTTTCTTTTTCTTTTAAAACACTAGCAAAAATGGAAAGTAAATTTATTTTAGTTAAGGTGATTTTCAGATCACAATCCTATGATCTCTTATGAAACAATGTCCTCAGGACAGTTTACAAACATTAATAAGGCAAAAATTGCAGCATGTAGGGGTCTCTCTTGAGAACATTGAGATTAGAATATCAGCATTTTGGAACAATGAAGAAATATTAAGTATTTATATGAAAGTCTCCTAAGAAAGAGATCTCTTTGTTTCAGAAAGGAAAAAAAGAATAAAGTGTATCCCCAAATTTTTTATTGAAAACTAAATTTTTAAAAATAAGGAAGAGGGAGAGGCTTAGTATGAATTTGTATACTTGTAATACATAGAATAATAGAAGTCAGATGTCAAAGTTGGATTTCAAACCTTAAAAGGTAAAATTATCTTCTCTTAACCAAAAAGAATGGAAACAAAATCTGTAGCCCCTAAATTATTTACACTAATGCTCTATCCAATTCTGCTGGAAAGATAAGACATTAAACTATCCGAATTTTTTTCTGTAATTATTCTTTTATTAAAGAAATTCACCAATTTCTATGCCAAAATCTGCTATCTAACCAAACTTACTATTAACTATCAACTCCACTAATTTGAAAGAGAAAATATTAAACTTCTTGCCTTTAAGAGTGAGTAATCTTTAGTTAGAGTGAATCATTAATATTTTATTTTTAAATCATATTTACTGGTAGCTTACTTCCTCTCTCTCTTTTTTTTTTTTTTTTAGCAAATTGACTTTTCAGCCTAAACTGACTCATTTGGAAATGTATACATGGAGGTAAAAAAATTAAAATGTAAGTTATGCTTTTATGAATTTCGTTTACATGACCAATCTTTAGAAAAATGCTAAAAGATATTGTGAACATTTGTAATTATCTTGCAGCTACCTTTTTTGACATAAAACCATATTTATATACGTTTCCATCTAACTAACCTTAATATTATGTTATTAGTGTAAATAAGAAAAATATATCTACTTTGAAAGCTAAAAGTTACTTCCTAATCTAGTTAGGAAAAATTAATACATTATTCTATGAACAGTATAAGATATACTTTCACTGTTTTTGAAAATAATTTTATTTAGCAGACTGTAAAACTCTTAACAGAATTGTAGAATCATGGTTTGCTTTTACATTGGTAGGAGTGAAGCAGAGGTTCAAGTAGAAATGAATGAAGATAATTGACAAAGCATGTAATTAATCCCATAAACTACCAAATAGGCCACTAGAAATAAGTCATGTTGAAATGAAAGTGTTTTTCCTTTAACTTTGTGAACTTTATTTTGCCTTCTTTTCTGAGACTAGCAACTGAATGCAATGAATGGAATTTTTGTCTCTTGAAAATACTGAGTGACAAAGAAAAAAACTATGTTTAAGATCAGTTTGATATTTTTCACATATCTAATTTAATTTTTTAATAATATATGAAACAGTTCTGAAAAATATCTCTTTGTATGTGATAGTGATAGGGATAAGCATGTGACAAAATGATAAACAGAAAATTGTATAGCAGCTATTACCTGCCAAACATTTAAATGTGCTAAACACATTTGTTTTGCTAAATTAACCATAGTTAGAACGTAGGATAATATAATTAGATTATTTAATATGTTCAAAATGAAATTAGTGCACATTAAAATAGAGCATCTAGTCCATTGTCTCTGTCTTTGAATAGAATATAAGCTCCCTGACGGGGGATTATTTTGTTCAGTATGTTCACTACTGAAACCTCAGCACCCACAACAGTGTCTGGAGAGCAGCAGTGCTCAATAAATTTGTTAAATAAATAAATGAATGCATGAAAAGTCAATGTTCAGTTAATGTTTATGAAATGAATAAAGATATTCAATTGTTATTGAGAATGAAAAATCCATTTAAAATTCATTTATAATTGCATCCTATTAATATAGTTTGCCATTTAGCTTTTGAACAAGACATTGGAATATTTTTTCAGACAATAATTTTCTTGCCAGGGATTATGCAGTAGTGGATAGAACATGTCAAATCGGTCAGCAGGTAAAGACTGGCTCTACCACTCACCAGTAGGTATCAGTGTCCTTGAGTAAATTCTTAAACTCGAGGAACCACAGATTCTTCACTGAGGATAATCAGAACTCATGTAAAGGTTATTGTGATTAAGTGAGAACATGTGTGTATAACACTTTTCATCAATAATGTTAATAATCATTATGTTATATATTATTACCTTCTTTTTTCATTCCTGCTCTAAAGCACTTTCTTAATCGACAGTATCTACATTGATTCCTTTTGTCTTTGTCAACAACACATTGCCGACTGAACCTACAACACCAAAAAAATATATTAGTTTGCAGAAAACTGTTATTTATCAAGAAAAGCAGACAGACTTTAAAAAGTATAGTCAAATTTAGATCAACAGAAAGAATGTATAAGAACAATTAACTATGACTTTTCTAATCTCATGATCGACATGAAAATACAAGCCTCACCTCTCATGCAGTCTTTCTAATAAAACAATACTGAATGATATCTCACTTTTGGCCAGTATCCATGATCATTTCTATCTTGAGCCATGAAAGCCAAACCTAGTTTAAAAATTGTGGCATACAAATTCTAACGCTTACTGCTAAATGATTTCAGTGTGACGGGGAACTTCACTCCTCTGGACTTTCATGCTTTTCTCTATTTAAAAATTTTTCTATTAATTTCACATCATATCCAATTGGAGTTTACTCTAAATTCCAAATTACATATCAAGAAGCAATTGAATAAAGTATAAAGAGTAGAGTCTCTGAAAACTTAGGTACCACGTCACACCCACTACAGTGGCTATAATCAGAAAAAACAGACAACAGCAAATGATGAGGTTGTGGAAAAACTGGACCTCTCCCACACTGTTACTTATAATACAAAATGATGTGGCTGCTTAGGGAAACAGTTTGGTAGTTTTTCAAAAAGTTAAACAAGAGTTACCAAATGACCCAGCAATTCCACTCCTAGGTATACAGCCAAGAGAAATGAAAACATATATTCACACAAACACTTATACACAAATGTCCATAGCAGCATTATTCATAATAGCCAAAAAGTGGGGACAACCCAAATGCCCATCAGCTGATGAACAGATAAACAAAGTGTGGTGTACCCACACAATGGAATATTACACCTGGCAATAAATAAGAATGAAGCGCTGATACATGCTACAACATGGATGAACCTTGAAAACACTATTCTAAGTGAAAGAAGTCAGACAAAAAAGGTCACATATTGTGTAATTTCGTTTATGTCAAATGTGCAAAAGAGGCAAATCTGGGCTTCCCTGGTGGCGCAGTGGTTGAGAGTTCTCCTGCCGATGCAGGGGACACGGGTTCGTGCCCCGGTCCGGGAAGATCACACACGCCGCGGAGCGGCTGGGCCTGTGAGCCATGGCTGCTGAGCCTGCGCGTCCGGAGCCTGTGCTCCTCAATGGGGGAGAGGCCACAACGGTGAGAGCCCCGCGTACCGCAAAAAAAAGAAAAAAAAAAAGACAAATCTATAGAGACAGAAAGTAGATTAGTAGTTACCTCATATTGGTGGGGAGGGAGTTGGGGGGAATGAGGAGTGACTACTAAAGGGTACTAAGAGGTTTCTTTATAGGATGGTGAAATATTCTAAATTGAACGTAGTGATGATTGTACAGCTCTGTGAATATAATAAAAAAATGAATTGCATACTAAAAGAAAAAAAAAAAGTACAGTCTCTGGAATTAGACCTGACCTTGATTCCCAGGTCAACATTCACTGTCTATAGAACTTGAAAATGTTATTTAACTTTCCAAGTTAACCCACAATTGTAAAATAGGGAAAACTTGCCGTCACAGGCTGTTAACTGAGCATACTTAAAAGACTATGAGATGAGCAAAACCTGAGCTTAAAAAACCTTTTTGCCCCTAAACTTACATCAATATAATATTTTCCAAATGGAAAATCATGGCATTTGCTTAATACCAATACATGTAAAGAAAGCTAAGTTGGCAGCAGTATTCATGATGGGAAGGTGGGAGGAGTAAAGCCATACATGTCGTTGGAATAGTTTTTACATTTCCAAAATTTGTTATGGGAACGTTTCTTTCCCACTTTTCTCATACAGGAAGGGTGGAAATCTTGAAAGCTCTGTGTGCTGACATTCTCTGACTCTTAAAAGTTCTTGTTGGGGTGTTCAACTCAATATTCTGTAATAACCTCTATGGAAAAAGAATCTGAAAAAGAATAGGTATATGTATATGTATAACTGATTCACTTTTCTGTACACCTGAAACTAACACAACATTGTAAATCAACTATGGTCCAACATAAAGTAAAAAATTAATTTTCTGTACACCTGAAACTAACACAACATTGTAAATCAACTATGGTCCAACATAAAGTAAAAAATTAAAGCCTGGGCTCCGCAACGGGAGAGGCCACAACAGTGAGAGGCCCGTGTACCGAAATAAAAAAAGAAAAAATTTACATGCCAAATTTATGTACAGTGTTAAAGTCAGCCTAGGGCATCTGTTTTAATTATTGGGACAAAACTTTCAAGCAAAACTACATAATTAAAGTGCAAATATGAGGCTCTTCCTTCAATCAGTGGCCCACTCTACAATTATTTGAAGATGTGCTAATTAATTTCGCTCTTGGCCTCTAAAGACCAGTATTTTGCACACTCTATGTAAATTTAAATGACAATATAAAAGACACTATCAGTATCTCTAAAATTATGAAATCATTTTTGAACACTAAGGAAGGACCACATTTTAGGGTTTTTTTTTTTTTTTTTTTCTCAATTTTTATTTAGAAAGTTCAGTGAAACAATATGGTATCACAGTTTAGAAATATTTTAATCTCACTATAATTTAACATTAAAAAACTAGTAATTTCTGATTTTCAACAATGAAATTTATAAAAATAATTTTACATTTATAAAATGAATCATTATTTCACAATAAATTATTCTTTTTTATTACCTGAAAAAAGGTTTGTGCTATATAAAAGCAATAACTTTGCTTATCGACATTTTGAAGATATGCTGAAAACTTCAGTTCCCCTTTGTCCAGCATGTTTGGCAGTTAAGTATACAAAAATATTATATTACACATTCCCTGACCATAGTATTTAAAACAAATTTGTTAGCAATAATTTCTAAAACATGGCTGTTTAGTAAATATATGCAGATAAGTTAGAAGGTTCACTAAAAATGAATTATATGTTTTACAATCTAAAGATTTTTTTTTAATGTCTTCTGAGAGAACAACACAAAAAATTAAACAGAAAACTACAAAATATATTTCCATTTATAAAAATCAAAAGCATTCTTATTCATGAAATAGAGATACTAGCGTAAATTTTTTTTAAAATGAGTTAATTCTTTTTTCTGTCCTCACTCTCTCTCAAAGATATATTTTTCAGTTTCCAGGTACCAGCTCTGCAAGGAATTTTATTGATTCTATTAAATCAATGATAGCTTCTAAGTAATCATTTTTCCTTTTTAAGAGTTAATAAGTTAGTTACAGTTAACACAAGCTTTTTATTTGCAGGGTAAGTGGGGGGCTATGAAATCATAATCATAGAAATTTTGAAAGGTTCTGTAAAAATCATTGAATTCAGCCTCTTGCAGCTTGGAGAACCCTTTTTATGTCATTAATAATTACTAAATCAGTTTTCCCCTGCTTCAGCAAATGAAGTGTGTGTGTGTGTGTGTGTGTGTGTGTGTGTGTGAGAAAGAGAGAGGGAGGCATCACTGTTTCTTGAGGCAGCCTGTCAATCGTTTTAAATGAGCTCCAGATTTAGATAATATCAAATTGTCAAATAGTTTTGGGCTCCAATGAACTACATTCCTCAGTCCACTGGATTTTTTGAAAATGTGCTGAGCCACTGATTTAAATTTGTCTTTGCTTTCATCATAACCTACCTGTTATATATTTTAGATTCCTTAAAAGTACAAAAGTGGTTTCTTATTCATGTTGCAACAAATTTACACTCATTTACATGTAAATATGTGTTAACAGGTAACACAATGGATAATATTCAATCATCACTCAATTGCATATATTTAAAAACCACAGTAAGAAGCTCACATTTTCATTCTATACCAAAGATTTAATCTCCTTAAACCAGACCTGGACTTGAATATGGCTCTCCTACTTTTTAGGTTAATGAACTTTGGTTACATTATTGAAACCCTCTAAGCTAAAGGTTTCTTCCCTTTACAAGAGAAAGATAATAATACCTCTCTTACAGGGTTGCTCTGAGGATTAAATGAGGCAACACGTGTGTGACAGATGGCTACTTTGTCTCCCGATAGCAGAAGCCCAGTGATATACAGTTTTTGTTGGCACAAGGCTTTCTACCTAACACTCCCAGCCTCCCCGAGAACAAGATGGGGGCATGGGCTAAGTTCTAGTCAATGGATGTCTGCTTCTAGATTGTTTTAGGAAAGGGAAATAAATGTCTGTCTTGGTTGAGCCACTCTTTTAAGAGTTTCTTTTTTACAGTTTAACCTGTATCCTAACTGATAAAACTAACATGTTTTATTTTAACATACATCTTCAAATATAGGCAGATTTCAAGGAATACCCCAGTCATCTATGGAATGCCTATTTATAATTTTCTAAACTTTATATAGGCATATTTAACTGTGGGCCAAAAAGATACTTCTTAGCCACGGGATACCCATAAGTGATTTTTCTTCAAAGAAATATACCCTATTCTACACTGACTGATTTATTTTTTGAATTTGCAAGTTTAAAATTTATTTAAAAACTTGGTTCATTTAATATTAATCTGGGATTTCTGATCTACTGTTCACAGTCAAAAAAGAATACTTAGCTCTGCATCACATCACCATAAGCAATTATTTACAGATTTAAATTAATAATAAGACAACAAATGAAAGTAGTACATAAGATTCAACTGGTTCATGCACAGTACAAGTTTATACTATATAAACGTATTGAAGCTCAGATATACATTGGTTGCATCTAAAGGTTTTAAACAATAGCAACAACAAACAAAATGAGCATATAAACAAGAAAACAGGATACCATCTTATAACAGCACCATGAAGAAGCCTTGGCTAAGAGTTTGCCAAAAGTGCTATCCTGAGATATTTCAAGACCAACAACTTTTCACATTTATGCAGTGCCGTTCAGAAGTAAACATATTCTCACAGTTGCTTCTGTTTGGAGAGAGGCTGGTGTGAAATGACTGAAGCTTGATTTGCAGCTATTTTGTACGGTTCTTGTCCAGAGCCTTGAGGTGGGGAAGGAAGTGGGGTTTCTGGAGTTGCTAAAAAAAGAATCAGAGAATTGTATGTAATGGTGACAGTCACCTTGGCCCATCCCATTAAGTCCTTCATGACATCAATATGCATTACTTTATTTTGGATATGTTTTTAAAAGATCATATATAAAGTAGTGATTATAATACATTATCAGGTCATTGACATACTATTGGAGATGCACTCCCATCTTACTGTCCCAATTAGCATTAAACTAAATCATACTTAAAAATCTTGACAGTCACTTTAAGGTGTCTTCTGACTTTCTTAATAGCATTTATGAACTCTGATTCTCTCATAAACCCAGCAGAAAAAAAGTTAAAATGAAAAGAATTAACAGAAAGCTAGTTTTTGTATATTTTTTATACAATATAAATTTTATATTGTAAATCAAAATTGCAATCAAAAAAGCACATAAAATAAAACATATTTGGTTTAGATTTTACTAATTCAAACATTAGATGACATAAAAAAATTAAGGTAAGATAACTTTTCAAGTGCTTTGAAATCTATGTTGTAGTTAAAAGCATCTAAAAAATACTGGCTTTGTCACTTCCAAGTTATTCTATTACAAATACACTTGGCGGTCCCTTCCCTGTCAATGCAAAGAGCACTGAGTAATTTAAAAAAATGAGTTACAGTTTGAATAATTCATTGCTGATAACAGTATTTCTTTCTATTGACAAATTTTAACCATATTACAAAATAATCTAGAAGCCATTCTATAATTGTTAAAAGCTTGAAATATTTTAGCACTCACATTATTATTCCGTATATTTAACAGAACAAATAGAAAATGTTTAATGATCAGACTGAGGCATTGCAAACTTCTTAGATTTTTTTTTCCCAGTTTTTAAAAATTCCATACAAAATGAGAACAGTCCCTTTTTGCCTGGTTTTCTTTAATGTATTAACTTTATATTATTAAGTGTGAATTAGCAGTTACTTAGAAACAATGTCTTTAGATATAATTTAATTGACAAAAGAATTACCAAATTTGCTTTAAAAATTATTCCTGGATATTTAGGATGGATCTAACACTCAAGTAGTCTGCTCTAAAGGACCAAGAAAATATGCATGAACTTAAATATGTATGTGTATAATATAAATGTGTTATATATATAACACATACACATATAATATAAATGTGTATGCTTGTGTTTAATATTTTGCTTTGTGTAAAATATAAACTGTTCCAAATGAGCACAAGCAAAGCAAAATTTTCCTTTACAAATGAATTTCTTAAATATTATGTTGAGAGAGGGAAAATAAAAATAAAAAGTGTGATGATGTGATTCTAAAAATGTTAGGGTCAGCAAACATGCTTTTAAAATACTACAAAGCTAGCATTTAAAAAGTAAACGATTGGGCTTCCCTGGTGGCGCAGTGGTTGGGAGTCCGCCTGCCGGTGCGGGGGACGTGGGTTCGTGCCCCGGTCTGGGAGGATCACACATGCCGCGGAGCGGCTGGGCCTGTGGGCCATGGCTGCTGGGCCTGCGTGTCCGGAGCCTGTGCTCCGCAGCGGGAGAGGTCACAGCAGTGAGAGGCCCACATACCGCCAAAAAAAAAAAAAAAAAAAAAAGTAAATGATTTAACCACCAGCAGAATTGTTAAACTTTCTTGTCAGTTGATACCTACAATGTTCAATATGTTGTTAATGTGCTTTATTTTCCAAGTTTATGAATAACTGATCTCTAAGAGACACAACTTCCTAGACTCTTTGGTATGGTATTGGGCTTGCCTCTCTCTGCTCTAGACTGTTAATTAAATGAAAGTGGTAACATCTGCTTTGCAAGAATGGTCCCAGTATGGTTCCTCAAAAAATTAAAACCAGAACTTCCATAGTATCCAGCAATTCCACTCCTGGGTATATATCTGAAGAAAACAGAAACGCTAATTTGAAAAGATACATGCACCTCAACGTTCATAGCAGCTTTATTTACAATAGCCAAGATATGGAAGCCGCCTAAGTGTCCATTAACAGATGAATGGACAAGGAAGATGTGAAAAAAATATATAGAGATATATTTATATATATATTGAATATTATATATTTTATATATCATTTATATATATATGAATATTACTCAGCCATAAAAAAGAATGGAATTTTGCCACTTGCAACAACTTGGATGGACCTGTAGGGTATTATGCATAGTGAAATAAGTCAAACAGAGAAAGACAAATACTGTATGTTTTCACTTATATGTGGAAACTAAACAATAAAACAAAGGAATAAATATAACAAAACAGAAATAGACTCATAGATACAGAGAACAAACTAGTGGTTACCTGTAAGAAGTTGGGGAGAGGGAAGGGGAAGACACAAGAAGGGGATTGAGAGGCACAAACTACTAGGTATAAGATACAAGGATGTGATGTACAACACAGGGAATATAACCAATAACTTTAAACGGAATATAATCTATAAAAATATTGAATCAACATGTTGTACACCTGAAACCAATATACCATCATAAATCAACTGTACTTCAAGGAAAAAACAGAAGAGAATGTTCCCAAACTAATGTCTTTCAACTACATTGGGACCTACAGATTAAATGTGCTATAGTATACATCATTTGTATTTTTTTCTAACAATTTCATTTCTGCCTCTGTCGTATACTCAAAGAACTTTGTGTTTCATACACTATTTACACATGGATCTACCAGTGTGTGTATCTAAAGAACAGCAGTGATAGCATGCATTTCTGTGGATTCTACTCTCCCTACCACTAGGTAGCAGTCAGATGGAATGGTACTCACTTAATTTTGTTGCATTGCACTGAACATTTGGGTAAAACAACACTGTAGCTAGTTATTAAGGGCAATTGTAAATTCAGTAGGCAATGCTGGTACCCATAATAATTATATGACAATAACTGAAGGCATCTCAGTGAGGTAGCTGGTTTAGTGTTCAGAGGCAATAGATCAAAAGTAAATCTGGAATTAATTAGTATGAATTCAGAAGCAATTAATTCTAGATATTTTTGTCAAATAGAGATTTTTTTAATCTCCAATGCGACATATAAAAATAAAATTTGTGTTAAATCTGCAATAATATCAGATTAACTATCTACTAGCAATCCCTAGTATTTATATAGTCACTTTAGTTCCAAAGTTCCAAAGCAGCCCACGTTTGGCACAATTATGATATACACGAATGTCAGTTATCACAGCTTTGTTAAATAGCACCAGTCTTTCGAAAACATGATTCAAATTTCACTTAGCTTGCTAACTCTAATTAACTGTGAGTATTGCATAAACTCACAAACTTCACTGTGTTACAAACTTCACTGATAACTCTTCAGTCTACAAATAATTACCTAAAATATTAGATGTGCATTTTGATCAGTGACCAATCACATCACATCCTTCCTTCTGTCCATGATTATTCAATGAGCATATTTCCTTCAGTTCATACACTGACAACAAACTGTGTAGTTGTGTTGCCTCCTCATCTCCCTCTCAGTGACAAATCCACATGACAATTTGCAAAAATGGACAACTGAAAAGAGAATTGGCCAAAAGGGGAGAATGTGCAGTAAAGAAACAAAAAGTGATAATGTTGGAAATGAAATTCAAATCGAACATAAATGGAGTTATAGAAGAAAGAGCTGACGATGGAAATGTTGACACTACCATTGTTTGAGTCCCTAAAAATTCAGCCAAGAACTTAGTGAAGGAAAGCTTGTCAACAGAAATGAGGAACTAGTTGCACTGAAAAGGTTGAAGAGGTCCCAAAGGGAGTGAAACTGGCAAAAAACTTCACATCAAATGGATTCTCAGAGATATTTTAGGACATTAAAAATGCAAAGGATAAAATGTTGGAAACTGACCCAAACTTCCAAAAGAGTAAAATCCATCAAAGATGGTCACTTCCTCTTGTAAGTCATTAGAAGAGAACATGGCAAGCAGTGTTTAAACTACTCTTCATATTTTTTTACAAAAAAATAAAACACATTAATTCTCAGTGTTATTAATATTTTAAATTATGGTACACTAAGAGTTAAAACTACTATTTTTTTTTAGTTTCCCTATACATTTATAACCTATAGCTAAAAGAGTTCTTGATGTTTTGACAAATGTATTTAAAGGTCACAAGCAATCATAATTTTCCTGTTGATTATTAAGATTCCTTTGCATGGTTCCACCTTGTATAGTCATTTTTATGGTCCTGTACTACCAGGCAAAGCTAGGACATCCTGTATGTTCTTTTGTGCTCCTAAACCTATGAATAAGAAAGATTTAGTACTTACATCTCCATTTTAGGGAGAAAACTCATACCTAAGAAGAATAAGTGACTTGCTTCACAATCTCCCACAATTAAATCTTGGAGAAGAAATTATATCCAATTTTTATAATTTCTGGGCACAAATAGATTCTTTCCCCAAATTCCACCTTTTCTCAGGTAATTAAGTTTAAGAAATACTATGTTTCAAAAGTAGCCCTGGGGGCTTCCCTGGTGGCGCAGTGGTTGAGAGTCCGCCTGCCGATGCAGGGGACATGGGTTCGTGCCCCGGTCCCGGGAGATCCCATATGTCGCGGAGCGGCTAGGCCCGTGAGCCATGGCCGCTGAGCCTGCGCGTCCGGAGCCTGTGCTCCGCAACAGGAGAGGCCGCAACAGTGAGAGGTCTGCGTACCGCTAAAAAAAAAAGTAGCCCAGATACTTACAGATCTGGTCTGTATGAACCAGTGTTGACATTGGACCCAAAAGTATAGTTTGTCCAGTTAATGGATCTTGAGATAAATGTGGGTGCATTGGATGATGGAGATGGTTAGCCTCACTGGAAGTACCTACAGAAGATAAAAAGATGCTTACATTAGTGATATTTAATCAGGAACAGCAAGTTTACCTTGGAACAATTGTTTTGATTGACAGCTTGAATATTGCTATTTTTGCAAAGTGCTTTTTGGAAGTTCAAAAATAAATTAATAGAGCCACTGCCATGTTAAAGACAATGTCAGCTTTCACTGTACATTGGTTAGATTAATGTTGTGTCATATTATGTTGTATATTAATAATGGACCTTCTGTGCAGTTTCCTGGAATCATTAGGTTTGCTGCCTGTTGTTAAGTCAATTCCAAGAATCACTTACCTTAAGTTTACAGTATTTGGGATCACCCTACTAGCATAAACAACTTTTATTTCAGAAAGATATCATTAGAAACACATTAAGCACTAGAAAACTAAAATTATACTAAATTAAAATAAAGTGATTTTATAAGGAAATTTAATCTAGATCAGAATACAAAATAAATGATTTCTTAAGTTATTCCTGACATCTACTGCAGCAATGAAATCTCATTTTTCCCTTTTCATTGTGTTGTGTCAGTTAATTACTTCAGGAGCACAATGTTTATTTTTAAAGTATTTACTATATATATTTTTTGGTTTTGTTGCAATTCCGATATCCTTGAGCTTTTAGAGGAGTCAAGGCATAGAAAAATATAATATACTCCAAGAAGTACTAACAATAGGAGATATAGTTCTATTTACCATATTTGGGAGGATCTGAAAATTGAGGAAAGAGGGACAGGGTAGAGTAAAGATGGTGGAGGTGAGTACAAATGGAGGGGAGGTTTGAATGTGTTCAAGTATTTCTGTTCCCATCCAATGGGTTTTGCAGACTTTCTAAATATAAAATACTGAGTTCATTACATCATGGACAAAAGGTAAATAGGTCAAGTTGCTCTAAAGTACTGTAGTATGATGTTAATAAATAAAATAGAAATTCTTAAATATACTCACCACCCAGTAACATCTCCTGAAGTAAGTTGTCGATTTTAACCATCCCAAAAAGTTTAATGAATTGTATCTGCTCAATCATTTGCCAAGTGATGCTCTGCAGCGTGGGCAGGAGTAGAAGCAGTTCCCCAAACCTGCCCCGGGAGTCGTACTGCCTGTCGTTGATGTAGTCCTCCAAACTCAGCTGCACTTGGAACCGCATGTTCTTAATCTTTACTGGATCACTTAGCCCTTTTGCATCTAATAAAGGAATAAAAAGGGCAATCTAAATACTTAACCTTACTAGAGTGTAACAGAAAATATTCTAGTATTTAAAAAGTAGTTTAATTTTCACTGCAATTATTTTTAATGGATCTTTGGAAACAAACCTGGATCAAAAAATACAATTGCCTTCAAACAAGCATATTCATTGTCATCAATCTGAATTTCTTGAAATGGTCGGACCAGCTCGTCTAGAACCCGGTTGGCCACACGGCTAATCTCAACTTCACTGCTGTTGCGGTGAATAATGTAATTGTTTCCTAGGTAAAAAAAATAAAATAAAATAATCACCCTCCTCACACACACAAAATTGTCAGACTTTGCTTAATTTTTTACAAACCAATATTTTAAATGGTCTTCCCTTGAAGAGACAGGAATAGTACTTCCTCTTTCAAGAACATTGTTAGTTATGTTAGAAAAACTTTAGAACACTTACAGGATCAATGACATTGATAATATGATCACATGCATTTTAACAGCCTCGGTCACTTGTGATAATACTAAAGTACAGACTAATAGCAAGCTAATTATTGACAAGGGAGAAACAAGATATAATGATTAGCTTTCCACTATATCAGTTATCTATTGGTGTTTTACTCATTAATGAGCATATTACAAAACCTAAAGAATCTCTCTTGCTTACAGTGAACTAAAAATGGCATTCCTCTAGTGGTCTAGGTGTATATACATGTAACAACTACTGAGACACAATTTTAATAAGCCTAAGTAGACGAGGCTGATTTTTGAAAATTAGCACGTATAGTCTCATGAGTTGCCTCATTAAATAGTAAATTCTCTCTTCCTGGACTTGTTTAAGTAGAGGCGGGACGATCACTTTACAGGGCTGTATTCAAAGGAGTTCAGAAATTGGACAGAGAACTGGACCACCTAATCCCTAAAGGCATTCTACCTTAGAAAGTCTCGGGCTATAATATGATACTATTATAGCTTCTAAAACATTAGAAAATTGGAAGCTTATTTTAGCCCCTAAAATAGCTGCTAAATTTTTATTTTCTGGTTTTATAAAAAACAGAATAGGGCTTCCCTGGTGGCGCAATGGTTGAGAGTCAACAAACCAGAATATTTTGACTTCTTTCACTGCAGGCAAAGACAATCTTCAGTATAAATAATAATGTGCAATAATAATAATGTGCAAAATTATTCAAAAAATGTAGCCCTGCTCTTCTTATGAAAAGTTAAAGTACCTAATTATTTAGGGTAAAACAATTTAGAACTATGTAGTAGAACTGTTTTGATTTCTATGTATATTGTATTCACATTTATAATGAGAACACTATTGCAGGGGAACTAACAATGCAAGAGAAAGTTTAACAGAATTTAAAAGCAGTCATATCATGTGGTTTAGAATCCTGGCTCTATCCCTTACTTGCTTTGTGACCTTAGGTAAGTTTTCTTGGCCTTCATTTCTTCACCTACGAAACGGCTGAAAATAATAGTACATATCCCTCAGGGTTATTGTGAAGATTAAATGAGAGAGTGTATATATAAACATGTAAAGCACTTAAAGCAATGCATCGTACATACTAAGTCCTCAGTAAATATTAGCTATTGTGATATTATGTTCAATTTATTTATATTTGGGACAAAATATCTATCACAAAAATGGAATAAGACAATTTAATCATCATTTCACACAGCCAGAGGGAGGCAGAGCTTATAAACATTAGAGGAATCTCAAATATCCCAACAGGAAACCTAACTTTATACGTTAAGTAGGGGATCAGGGTACTTCCTTAATGAAGACACAAGCTTTTCCTTTGTGTCTTATCCCACCTACCATCCTACTTTTGTGTGTTATAGCACTGCTCTTTAACTCTCAGAATTTTTCAGACATTGTCACAAAAAATTTTTTTTAACTTGGGGTTCTGTAGCATATCATGGGCAATGAGATCATAGGAGATAAACACGTTCCTTAGAAGAGTATAAAATAATATATACTATAATTATTAGGTAGACACTGAGAGTGTATGAAACAACACTGGGACTCCATAAGATGGTGACATAAATCACTAACTCTTTGTCCTGATATGATTTAAACATACCTCAATGTTATGTTTATTGAGCAACATCTTTTATTTTTAAATCTTAGTGCACCCTGAACATCCACGCTGAACTTCCCTGAATTAACGGCAAGGAAAAACAGGGCTTGAGTGAGGACCTGACCAACTAAGTCCAATTTGTGAAGTGACAGAACCATTTGGCAGTGTCTATGAATGCCTGGTACATAGAGAATAGGCCCCATGGAAGTATGAAGCATGCATAATTTTTTCTCAAATTAAAAAAAAAACCTTACCCAAAAGCAAAATATCTTTATACACCATGGATCTCTTTGTAGCTCCAAGCAGTAAATGTTCCCCTGCGTGAGCTCTCAACAGTGCCACCTTAATGAAAAATTCCAAGTTTAACAATTAATTATAAAATATAATGATTAAAAGATTATATAAGCCTGATTAACTTAGTATTCTTTAAGACTGGGACTTTTTTTGTTTTAACAACTACAGTATTCATAGATTCTTGCCATGATTAAGGCTTCCATTTTTCTACTTTTAGCATATCAACAGAGTTTTACTTTTCAAAATTTCTAAAACTAACAAGTCAATACAATGGCAGCAAAAAAAAAGAAAAAGAAAAAGAAAAGCAGAAGAGTTTAGTGTTTGGGAGTGAATGATGTTTGGGCATAGAGTCAAACAAACCAGAGTTCAAATTCCGGCTTGGCCACTTACTCCTCTTTAAACTTGGGTTAGCTGACCACCAGTGTGTTTGGGACTCATTTGTTTTCATCTATCAAATGGAGATAGTGATAAAAATCTGAAAGTGTAGCTATGAGGAGTAAAGGAGAAAATATATGTAAAACAAGATCTCTTATACATAATCAACTGAATAAACAAAAGGAAAACAAAGATTGGTGATATAGCGAAATGAGTATGGGGGATCTGGGTTCTGACACTTTCTAGATTGAACCTTTAACTCTGCACTAAGCTCTCAAAGGAGCGCCATTGCCTGCTGAATATCACCAGTAGGAAGACTAGGAAGCATTTCAAATTTAACACATCAAAGTAATGCTTCTCCAACATCTTCATCTCCTTAGTAAATGGCACCATCATCCAAATGCTTTTTCACACCAAAAACAAGGGTCTATTTGGATCCCTCTCTCATTGTACAGCAAATCCTAGTGTTGCTTCTCCATTGCTAAGGCCCCTGGCCAAGCCTTGGTCATTCTTCGCCTGGCCCACCAAAATACACTCCAAAGAGCTACTAGGTATTCCTGCTTCCTTTCTGGTTCCTCCATCCTAAGTCCTTCTTGCCAGAGCTTCTACGATGATATCTTGTAATAATAATAATCACTTAATATCACTCCTCTGCTAAAAACTCTTCACTGGTTTCTTACTGTCCTTAGAATAAAACCCAAAAACCTCAACCATGGCCTACCATGAGGTTATGGCTCAATGCTTTTGCCCCCCTGCCCACGTCCCTGGTTTCATCTTACAACATCCTTTGCTCACTTTTCTCCAGGCACACTATGCCTGCCTGCCTCAGAGCCTTTGAACTTGCCTCTCCTGTACCCAGAATGCTTTCTCCTCAGATCTTGACATGCTTAGCCCCTTGCCACTCAGGTCTCAAGAAAAATCTTCTTTAATCCCCAATTTAAAGGATCTGCTACCACTCCACTCCCAGTCATTCTCCAACAACTCATCCCATTTCATTTTATAGAACTCTTCCCCACCTAGAATTAACTTACCCATTATCTGTATATTTTTATGTCTGCCTCTCCCAAATAGAATGCAAATTTTATGAGAATAGTGATGTAATCTATATTTTTACTGCCAGATACTCACAGTTCCTAAAACTGAACAGTAATCCTAAGAAATATTTGTTTGATGAATACACTGAGTGAATTTAACTGATATATGGTTCAGTTTTAAAAGCTGTTAAGTTTTTAAAGAGATTATAAAACTTATGCCACAGAGCTCCCGAGAGTATTAAATAAAATAATGTAATATGTAATGCATTTGAAGCCCGAGTGCCTTATCCATAATAGACATTCACCAATCCATGGCTATTAATGTTATATTAAAGTGTCAGTTAGTAAATGAAAACTATTATTGACAAGTTACAGGATTTCAATTTCCCAATTTTAAATCATTGTCTTAATACATGTCAGCAACTTTTTTAAAAAAAAGAGTGGTAATAAAAATATAAAACTGATAAATAACATAACCCTACTTATATGGCTTGGGGTGAGACAAGTAAGTTTTAGCAATTTAGCATTATTCACTCTGAAATAACCTTCTGAGCCAAGCTATCTTTATGATATGTCCACAACCATGACTCATACCAGGAAGGGAGTTACAGAACATGTTAAGAATGATTTCAGATTTCACAGTATTTTCTTTTTGTAACCAGGTGAAATGCTCTCCTAGAAATATAACTGCTAACTTTCTGTGATCACTTATTTTCTGGTTATATATATATTTTGCCCTTCTTTGATTTTTAAACAATCATGTACTTTTCCCTTTGATTGTTTCTTTGTCTTTGTTTATCAGTGATAAAGAGCATTGGTCAGAGGGTATAAAAATAGACACTGGTTATATTATATATCATGGTTTATTTAACCTGGGGGAACTGGAAATTTTCAAATTATTTACATCTACAGAATATTATATACTACTTAGAAGAGTTAAAAATGAATCTGAAACTAATAATCTAATCTTTATAGACTAATTAGAACATTAAACTTCTTAACTACTTTTTTTTTTGTTAAGAAAGTGGATTGCTTTATTAGAAACAGTGAATATAAAAAGGAGATTGATTTCAGGTAAGAACTCTTTAAAAATATTTCAAGACTATACAAGTAAAAACTTTTTACAAAGATGTTCAGCATTCCTTTTCCCTTGGTTCATTTTAAAGAACCTAAATATTTTATTTACTTCAAGACATCAAAACGTTAGACTGCTGGTGAGTTAAGCTCCTTGAGATAATTCAAAATATCAAATATCTCAATTTTGAGAACTTATATATTTGATGCTAGTAATTAAAACATTATATTATATTGATATACTTTTTTTTTTTTTTTTACTGATTTGAATACAGTATGTTGATAATCTGAAGTGTAAGGTCACTTGAGAAATGAGATCAGCTAATTTTTTTAACTTTCAAGTCGTATTTTAGCCACTAAGTTCTGTTACAATTCTGCAGGTTTAAAGAAAAAGTCAGATTAAGTCTCATCAGTGCCCCTACTGCTGGTCATTTTTATGGGTAACTAGAAGTTTCCCCCTCCCTCTAGAATAGTCAAGGTTTATAGACCTGTTAACACTGATTAAATGGCAGTACTTTCCAGTATGTTTACATTTACAATACATAATGTAATAATAAATATAAAACGGATAAACTTGAAGGTTGCTTACAGGTTAATTTATCAGACAAACTCCAATGTGCATAACCTTGCAGAAAGTCTGGGGAAAATTAGAGTTCATAAACTGTGAAAGGTAGAGACAAGTGTCTTAGCTACTTCTTTAAACATATTGGAAAGTGAACTTTTAACTATTAACTAAAATATCTTAATATACATATGACAAAGTATGAAAATGTCTATATTAGGAAAAGATCACTACCTCTGAATTCTATTTTCAGTAGATTTCAGAACACAATTCTACAGACTTTTTTTTTTACCAGATTTATACTTTTTATACAGTAAATGCTAGAATAAAACTGACAACATGAAAGGCACAATTTTACATGTTAAGTGCATAAAAGTGCCTACAAAGACACCAACACAACCTGTGTGGTTTCTGTCTAGAAGTGGCCTGGTATTTCTGAAGAATTTTATATGCACGTTTAGTAAACACTAACACACAGTGGGGTACCATTTGCCTTACAGACATTTATTCTTCCAATACTTTATCTCACAATGGCAGTTATCTACTACCTGTCTTTCTCCCTTACTTAAGCTTTTTAAACTTCAGGAGGGAAGAACATAGGCTTGATCAACCCTCATCCTATCAATAAATTTGTAAGACCCCTAAAATAGAATTTAAACAGTCTGTCTCTCAGTAGACTGTTTAACTTCAAGGAGAATGAACAAGAAAACCAATCTTTCTCTCAGATAATTTAACCTTTGTCCAATATAGTAAATCTACTATAAATATAATTAAAAGAACTGAAAAACTTAGCAAAGTTCAAAAAACATTTTTTTAAAGCATTCATAATCTCTTTAAATTATACCTGATCATCCAGTGGTAACTCACAAAAGGCAGGAATATATTTAGCCCATTCCACCAAGACTAAGAGCTGCTGTTTCATGGATTCACAGACATCACCAATACTGGCAATTTTCTTAATATTTATGTCAGTGCTCACACCAGGGCTTGAGACTGAGATCTAGCATTAAGAAGAACATTATATTAATTCATCACTGAACATAACACAAGACCACTATTTCTCTTTTTTCCACAACTGCAATAAGTAAGCCCCATTGAAGTGGGCACTATCATTGTCACAGTATCTTGAAATATACTAAACATTTAAAATTGAGAAATCAAATACCTATCAATTCAAGTTAAATTGACAACATTCACTGCACAGCACCATGGTCTGGGAGTACTATCTTATTTTCTGGCCAAACCTGTAAAATAAGTTACCACAACTTTCAGGGAGTTTCATAATTCAAAATGACTATACAAAGAGCTATGGAGTATCCACATGAACTATGTTGTATGATTTTATTTTTAATTGAAGATGATAGTTCCATTAAGAAAGCCCATCTTTAATTTGTTGTAATTTAGGAAGGAAAGTTTCCATTGGATAAAGTTTACCAACTGAGGAGAAAAGATTTAGATGAGAAGTTGCTGCATTTAATGGAAACCCACCCAAATAAAGTTAAGAAACCAATCTTGGACTCAGCAAGTTGAAAATCTCAATGTATAATGATAAATTTTTTAAATGACATATAATTTTGAACTATCTAAGATATAAGTAGTGTTCAAATGCCTTTCTGCTGAAAAAAATCACTTTCTAAAAGTTCTTCTAAACTTAATTTTTGAACATGTGTGTGTGTGTGTGTGTGTGTGTGTGTGTACATGTCTTTCTGCAGTGTATGTCTATTTCCTCACAGTTCCTTTCAGGGCATTCTCGAAATACTTTATAGGACCATCAAGTAATCTTCACGTAATGATGATGATAATGGTGATGTTAACTTCATCATTTACCCTTGTGTTATCAAAAATGAAAGTAGTTGCATTGACTCATTATAGAACCTGATTAATAGCTATTTCATTGTTTGCTTTATAATAGAAAAATACCATTAACATTTCTAATATGGGCAATGGTAAAACAAACTTTCTTCAAAAGGTTTCTTTATTTGATTCTTAAGTGATTTACTTTTATTTATATAACTAATCACTTATATTTTTAACTTTAGAACTGATATCCTCATTCTAGAAATTTCAAATAATAAAGTTTCTCCTGTGTTTTCTAAATTCTGGTTCTTCCCTTAAATACCTGTTTCCAAAGCAGATTTTAAGGTGAGTTCTTGAATCTAGAAGTCATTTTCAAGGAAGGAAGCTCTAATGATAGGCCTCAACTAAACACCCCCAAAGCTGTGATAATTGATTTCCAGATTCAATCAGTAAAACAAGATACTGCTCCCAGGGCATTGTGCTATGCATTAAGTATTTTAAATCAACCTTGCAAACAAACTTTTAACACTCAGACTGAAATGCATTTAATTTTTCCATTTAAAAAGTAGGAACTTGCCTAAGAAAAGTTAAAATTGAGTCAACAGTCCAACTAATATTTTCAAAGTAAAATTCTTCAATTTGCATAGGTGTAATTTATTATAGTAATGAGCACATTTGAATGAACTTAAATCATTTTAGTATTATGCCTAAATAAACATCTGATTCTATTAAACAGGGCTGGATGCTGGTGCAGCAGTAATGCAGCAGTACCTGGCGAGACCGAACTTCTGCTTGTGCCAGTGTGTTAATGGAGGGGATGTTGCTGCCATCAAATGTGCTTCTTCTGGTGCTTATTCTATCACGTTCGTTTTGCACAGCTAGGGGAGAAAATCACAGTATTTACTGGTCGGTTTTCTTCGATATATCTCAGAATATACGGTTTGAAGTAAAAACAACGTTACTATAAAAGGAGAAATGGGATGCCTCTAAAAGACCTTGGAGGGGGGTGCTTGAGGCAGGGAGAAAAGTATGACTGAAGGTATGTTTCATTCTGTACCATTTTTAAAGTAGAAAGAGCCAGGCTTGTCACTACAGTTCATAAAATACTGCCTTTTGGAACTTCATGATGGCACTCATGCTAGAAAGTGTTGGGTCAGCCAGTTCAGCCATGCTGTATTTTTACGAGGTTGGTTTTCCATTCTCTCAAAGTTAATAAAACCATAAGATAACTAGAGGAAGAGTACAACCTGTGAGATTGACCAGGTCAAAGATAAGAGTGTATTCGCTGTCAGAAAATATGAGTCATACATTTTGAAACTCCCATTTTTCTTTTTCTTTTAAAACACTAGCAAAAATGGAAAGTAAATTTATTTTAGTTAAGGTGATTTTCAGATCACAATCCTATGATCTCTTATGAAACAATGTCCTCAGGACAGTTTACAAACATTAATAAGGCAAAAATTGCAGCATGTAGGGGTCTCTCTTGAGAACATTGAGATTAGAATATCAGCATTTTGGAACAATGAAGAAATATTAAGTATTTATATGAAAGTCTCCTAAGAAAGAGATCTCTTTGTTTCAGAAAGGAAAAAAAGAATAAAGTGTATCCCCAAATTTTTTATTGAAAACTAAATTTTTAAAAATAAGGAAGAGGGAGAGGCTTAGTATGAATTTGTATACTTGTAATACATAGAATAATAGAAGTCAGATGTCAAAGTTGGATTTCAAACCTTAAAAGGTAAAATTATCTTCTCTTAACCAAAAAGAATGGAAACAAAATCTGTAGCCCCTAAATTATTTACACTAATGCTCTATCCAATTCTGCTGGAAAGATAAGACATTAAACTATCCGAATTTTTTTCTGTAATTATTCTTTTATTAAAGAAATTCACCAATTTCTATGCCAAAATCTGCTATCTAACCAAACTTACTATTAACTATCAACTCCACTAATTTGAAAGAGAAAATATTAAACTTCTTGCCTTTAAGAGTGAGTAATCTTTAGTTAGAGTGAATCATTAATATTTTATTTTTAAATCATATTTACTGGTAGCTTACTTCCTCTCTCTCTTTTTTTTTTTTTTTAGCAAATTGACTTTTCAGCCTAAACTGACTCATTTGGAAATGTATACATGGAGGTAAAAAAATTAAAATGTAAGTTATGCTTTTATGAATTTCGTTTACATGACCAATCTTTAGAAAAATGCTAAAAGATATTGTGAACATTTGTAATTATCTTGCAGCTACCTTTTTTGACATAAAACCATATTTATATACGTTTCCATCTAACTAACCTTAATATTATGTTATTAGTGTAAATAAGAAAAATATATCTACTTTGAAAGCTAAAAGTTACTTCCTAATCTAGTTAGGAAAAATTAATACATTATTCCATGAACAGTATAAGATATACTTTCACTGTTTTTGAAAGTAATTTTATTTAGCAGACTGTAAAACTCTTAACAGAATTGTAGAATCATGGTTTGCTTTTACATTGGTAGGAGTGAAGCAGAGGTTCAAGTAGAAATGAATGAAGATAATTGACAAAGCATGTAATTAATCCCATAAACTACCAAATAGGCCACTAGAAATAAGTCATGTTGAAATGAAAGTGTTTTTCCTTTAACTTTGTGAACTTTATTTTGCCTTCTTTTCTGAGACTAGCAACTGAATGCAATGAATGGAATTTTTGTCTCTTGAAAATACTGAGTGACAAAGAAAAAAACTATGTTTAAGATCAGTTTGATATTTTTCACATATCTAATTTAATTTTTTAATAATATATGAAAAGTTCTGAAAAATATCTCTTTGTATGTGATAGTGATAGGGATAAGCATGTGACAAAATGATAAACAGAAAATTGTATAGCAGCTATTACCTGCCAAACATTTAAATGTGCTAAACACATTTGTTTTGCTAAATTAACCATAGTTAGAACGTAGGATAATATAATTAGATTATTTAATATGTTCAAAATGAAATTAGTGCACATTAAAATAGAGCATCTAGTCCATTGTCTCTGTCTTTGAATAGAATATAAGCTCCCTGACGGGGGATTATTTTGTTCAGTATGTTCACTACTGAAACCTCAGCACCCACAACAGTGTCTGGAGAGCAGCAGTGCTCAATAAATTTGTTAAATAAATAAATGAATGCATGAAAAGTCAATGTTCAGTTAATGTTTATGAAATGAATAAAGATATTCAATTGTTATTGAGAATGAAAAATCCATTTAAAATTCATTTATAATTGCATCCTATTAATATAGTTTGCCATTTAGCTTTTGAACAAGACATTGGAATATTTTTTCAGACAATAATTTTCTTGCCAGGGATTATGCAGTAGTGGATAGAACATGTCAAATCGGTCAGCAGGTAAAGACTGGCTCTACCACTCACCAGTAGGTATCAGTGTCCTTGAGTAAATTCTTAAACTCGAGGAACCACAGATTCTTCACTGAGGATAATCAGAACTCATGTAAAGGTTATTGTGATTAAGTGAGAACATGTGTGTATAACACTTTTCATCAATAATGTTAATAATCATTATGTTATATATTATTACCTTCTTTTTTCATTCCTGCTCTAAAGCACTTTCTTAATCGACAGTATCTACATTGATTCCTTTTGTCTTTGTCAACAACACATTGCCGACTGAACCTACAACACCAAAAAAAATATTAGTTTGCAGAAAACTGTTATTTATCAAGAAAAGCAGACAGACTTTAAAAAGTATAGTCAAATTTAGATCAACAGAAAGAATGTATAAGAACAATTAACTATGACTTTTCTAATCTCATGATCGACATGAAAATACAAGCCTCACCTCTCATGCAGTCTTTCTAATAAAACAATACTGAATGATATCTCACTTTTGGCCAGTATCCATGATCATTTCTATCTTGAGCCATGAAAGCCAAACCTAGTTTAAAAATTGTGGCATACAAATTCTAACGCTTACTGCTAAATGATTTCAGTGTGACGGGGAACTTCACTCCTCTGGACTTTCATGCTTTTCTCTATTTAAAAATTTTTCTATTAATTTCACATCATATCCAATTGGAGTTTACTCTAAATTCCAAATTACATATCAAGAAGCAATTGAATAAAGTATAAAGAGTAGAGTCTCTGAAAACTTAGGTACCACGTCACACCCACTACAGTGGCTATAATCAGAAAAAACAGACAACAGCAAATGATGAGGTTGTGGAAAAACTGGACCTCTCCCACACTGTTACTTATAATACAAAATGATGTGGCTGCTTAGGGAAACAGTTTGGTAGTTTTTCAAAAAGTTAAACAAGAGTTACCAAATGACCCAGCAATTCCACTCCTAGGTATACAGCCAAGAGAAATGAAAACATATATTCACACAAACACTTATACACAAATGTCCATAGCAGCATTATTCATAATAGCCAAAAAGTGGGGACAACCCAAATGCCCATCAGCTGATGAACAGATAAACAAAGTGTGGTGTACCCACACAATGGAATATTACACCTGGCAATAAATAAGAATGAAGCGCTGATACATGCTACAACATGGATGAACCTTGAAAACACTATTCTAAGTGAAAGAAGTCAGACAAAAAAGGTCACATATTGTGTAATTTCGTTTATGTCAAATGTGCAAAAGAGGCAAATCTGGGCTTCCCTGGTGGCGCAGTGGTTGAGAGTTCTCCTGCCGATGCAGGGGACACGGGTTCGTGCCCCGGTCCGGGAAGATCACACACGCCGCGGAGCGGCTGGGCCTGTGAGCCATGGCTGCTGAGCCTGCGCGTCCGGAGCCTGTGCTCCTCAATGGGGGAGAGGCCACAACGGTGAGAGCCCCGCGTACCGCAAAAAAAAGAAAAAAAAAAAGACAAATCTATAGAGACAGAAAGTAGATTAGTAGTTACCTCATATTGGTGGGGAGGGAGTTGGGGGGAATGAGGAGTGACTACTAAAGGGTACTAAGAGGTTTCTTTATAGGATGGTGAAATATTCTAAATTGAACGTAGTGATGATTGTACAGCTCTGTGAATATAATAAAAAAATGAATTGCATACTAAAAGAAAAAAAAAAAGTACAGTCTCTGGAATTAGACCTGACCTTGATTCCCAGGTCAACATTCACTGTCTATAGAACTTGAAAATGTTATTTAACTTTCCAAGTTAACCCACAATTGTAAAATAGGGAAAACTTGCCGTCACAGGCTGTTAACTGAGCATACTTAAAAGACTATGAGATGAGCAAAACCTGAGCTTAAAAAACCTTTTTGCCCCTAAACTTACATCAATATAATATTTTCCAAATGGAAAATCATGGCATTTGCTTAATACCAATACATGTAAAGAAAGCTAAGTTGGCAGCAGTATTCATGATGGGAAGGTGGGAGGAGTAAAGCCATACATGTCGTTGGAATAGTTTTTACATTTCCAAAATTTGTTATGGGAACGTTTCTTTCCCACTTTTCTCATACAGGAAGGGTGGAAATCTTGAAAGCTCTGTGTGCTGACATTCTCTGACTCTTAAAAGTTCTTGTTGGGGTGTTCAACTCAATATTCTGTAATAACCTCTATGGAAAAAGAATCTGAAAAAGAATAGGTATATGTATATGTATAACTGATTCACTTTTCTGTACACCTGAAACTAACACAACATTGTAAATCAACTATGGTCCAACATAAAGTAAAAAATTAATTTTCTGTACACCTGAAACTAACACAACATTGTAAATCAACTATGGTCCAACATAAAGTAAAAAATTAAATTAAAAAAAAGTTGCTGTTGGATTTAGTTGCTTGGATGGTCATTTTTCATATACATATATATATATATATTTCACCTTCAACAGAACACATAACTTAAAAATTGTAAAAAGTATTGTTTACATGTTATTTTGTATGTATTTTAGTTATTAATCTTTTAGAAGCACTCAATATTTGATGTAATCATAGAGAAAATGCTTTGGATGAAGGAAATCTGCTTGATTACTTTACACCTCTCAAGTCTGGCTGTATATAAAAGCAAGAACATACTCTTTTTTGTTTACCAAGAAGGTTTTAAAGTGGATGATTTAGATTTTTATACCTACTTTAAGCTCTCCTAAAAAAATTACTAGAGAACACTAGCTTAACTTTTCCCACATCCCTAGAAGTCAAATGGCATCATATTGTAAGAGAGTTAACTTCTTCCCAAACATCCAACTTGTACCTAAAACACCTTAACAATCCTACACATGACTTTCAGAGACAGAGCACACACAGATATTTTTCTGTTAAAGTCAGTCATTTTTTAATAACCCATATTTAACACAGATATAATCTGTATTCAAGAACTGTCATTCTGAACACTCAAAGGGAAATATCTAACGCTAAATCATGCTATGATGTTGACTTTTTTTTAAAAAAGCCTACTAGAAGCGTGTGATACATAAAATATAAATACATTTTAGACAAACATGAAATTCAATTACAAAATTGTGGCACGAGAAATACATCTAAAACTTTAGAGCTGAAAATTTCATTTTATTCAGTAACATCAACAAGCTACCAAAATCATCTGCCTTTTTATAATTTTGTTCCAAGACTCAGGATGTGATGACGTAAAAAGATAAGCAATATGCAGAAACATACACGCATTGTGAAACCATTTAAATACAGATTTACATATGGCTCTTGGTATATGAACACGTGGAGAAACAATAAAGAAACACAAGGAAAAGACAAACACCAAATTTCAGATGGTATTTACCTCTGGGAGAGAGGGGAGAAAGAGAAAGTGATAGGGGAGGTGTTCACTGGAGGCTTCAATTATATTGGTCTAAACTGGGTGGTAAGCATGGGGATTTTTTAATATACATTTTATAAGTCTAAGATGTTTCATAAAAAAGAACCACCCGTGTGACTGCATGTGTATACACACCCACACATCCTCACTTTTCATGTCGCTTATAAATTTTGTTCTTAGAGTTACAGAAATTTGAAAGCTCTGAATTTTATTCCCGTACTTCTTGCATGGCATTTTGAAACACCTCTAAAGATCTCTTTCTGGGAAGGAGCATTTCAAGTACCTGCAGGAATAAACGTGACTCTTGCGGATACTGCGTCTGAAGAAGCCCTTGCACCCGTCACAGCTGGAGGCGCCATAGTGCTTTCCTGTCGCTCTGTCCCCACATATAGCACATAGACAGTTGACACCATTATCTGTGGTATTCATACTTGTTGTCTCTGGGACAGAACTATCTGTTAAAGAAAGACAAAGTGGTAGAGTGCAAGTTAGTACTGAGTATTTCTTACATAAATTGGCCTACTAATTATTCATGGGAGGGAAATAGTCCCTTCCTCAGCTTCTTGGAAGCTCCACACCAGTGCTCTCCTTTTATCCACTGGCTGTTTCTGCCAGTCTCCGTTCCAAACTCCCCACTCGTATTTTGGAGGATTAAAATTTGGTATACCATAGGGCTCAGTCCCTCAACTATACCCTTTCCCTAGGGAAGCTCATCCAGTCCCATGATATTAAACATCATCTGTATAATGAAAAATCCCCACATTTTATTTCTAGGCCCGATGTCTCCCATGGGTATCAGTCTGAAATGCCCAAATACCTACTGAACAACTTCACTTTGGAGTTTAATAAGAATTTCAAATTAATGTATCAAAAATAGAACTCTGATTTTTTTTTTTTCTCCTAGAACTTGTTCTTCCTTCAGTCTTCCCTAGTCAGTCAGTGGTACCATCTGGTACCTAAGGCCAATAATCTGGCCTTTACTGAATTCTCGCCTTCGTTGCTCACATCCAATCCACGAGTTATATTTAAAATACATATCGAATCCAGACCTTTTCAGCCTTTTACCATGGCCACCCTTATCCAATCGAACATAATCTTTTCCCTGGATTATTGCAATAGCTTCCTACCTAATTTCTCAAATACTTCCACCCTGGTTCCCCTACTGTTTATTATCAGAAAGCCGGCAATGTGCTCTTGGCATAAGAAATTCACATCACATTAGCCTTCTGCATCCAACCTTTAGATACAAAATAAAGCCTACACATATTCCCATGGCCTGTAGAGCCCAGAGTGAAAAGGTTCCCCTCCCATCTCTCTGATCCCATTATCTGGCACTACTTTTCATCCTGTTCACTAGTCTCTAGTAATGTTGCCTCTTTTTTTTTTTTTTTCTCCTTGAATTCTGTTCCCATCTCAGAGCCTTTATACTTGCTAACCCTTCTGCCTGGAAGGGAAGCTCTTCCTCAAGAATTTCTATGAGCTGGCTACCCAGTTTCTGCTCAAATCTCACATTTTCTGTGAAACATTCTGTAAACACATATCTAAAAGAGTCATCTCTCATTTGCCCTTCAAGTAGAACCTAGTACCCTGCTTATATTTTAAACTAACCACTTCATTTTCAAAAATTATAATATGCTTTGGTCTGTTCATTTATTACCCATCTTTCCACATAGAATAAAAACTTCATGATGTCAGAGGATTTATCTGTCTTAGTCACCCCTCTGCCTTCCAGCTCTTAGAACTACGCCTTCCATAAAGTGAGAAGTAATTGTTTTGAAGAAAGACGCTTCAAAAAATCCACATCGATATTTTTACTTAAATATTTCTTAAATTAGTTAATATTGTTTAAAACATCTTTACAATTATCTATGTACTCAAAAGATATTAAATAAATAAGAATATATTATACACTTTAATTAATAATAAATTATATAATAATGTAAATATAATAACAATTAATTATTATATTTCCAATATAAAAAGGATAAAATCAAAGACTGTTATGTCCAAATTACATTCTGTGACAATATATGTATTCTACTTACTAATACTTCTGAGTTGACAAATATTGTCATATATAACTTCATAAAGTTACAAAAATCTTCAGTGAGAATATGCTTAAGGGTAATCATGTGACATTTTAGAATTTAAATGCTAGTAATTTTTCTTTTGATAACATAAACAAAATAGATATTAGAAATATGGCAGAAGTGTTAAGGATTGACTGTGTTCTGGAAGATTATATGGAAACAAAAAAAATATTCAACTCTTGCTTCCAGTTTAATGTCATACTTACATATTATTAACAAGAATTTACATATTATTACAAGAAAACAAGTTAGACAACACTTTGGAAATAGCCATATAAGTCAGTTGTTTTAGTAAATATTTATGATAAATCTGTTCCTACTATTTAGTAATCTATAGCCTTTAAAAAATTCATGAGTCTATTGAGGTAAATACTTTATTAAATACCTTAGTCAAATCTAAACATAAGGATTAAAAATAGTGACTTCCTGATAGAAGCACTGTCAATTGATTTTAACCCCTTTGTGCTAAAATTTCAGAATTCATCTTCTGAAAATGCTTAGAAATCTTCCCACTAATAAATTATTGTTGTTTATTGCAAATATTACAGCTATAGCGGTCACTGAAATTGTACAGCATAGTAGAACGTTAAGATATCCTGAGTACAAGATATATTCTCAGTCCTGAGCTAAACACACACACACACACACACACACACACACACAGAATTTTCCAAAGCATACATAATTTGCAGATTTTATGAGTTCTAACAATTATAACTGATCTTGGACAAAATTTTTACATGAAAAAATATCTAAATTCAAAGTCAGTAGTAAACTGTATTCTATAAAGACATGAGCCCTAAACAAGTCATGTCTTATTTAAAGTTAAAATGTTACAGTAGATAAATACCAAGAGCTTTGTGAGGCTAAACATTAGCTTGTCAAGTGCAGTTATAATATAAACCCTTATTTCTTTTCATATTTGTGTTCAATGCAAAAGCTTGATAGTAATGTTAAATACAGTTTCTCATCAGCAGCAGTTGAGAACTGGAATAATGAAAGAAGGCAACCAGTAAAACTCTCCAGTGTTCTAAGGACAATTTTCCATATGTCATTTTAAATGTTGCATAGAAAATATACTTTACAGCCAACCTGCCAATATTACTCATTACTGTGATTTACAGTAAATAAAATAACTGCTGAAGCTACTCTTTCTATCTAAGTGGCCCATGACAGAATTCCGAGGTTGCTTTATTATGCATAGCTAAGCTTTTTCTATCTCAAACATAAGATAGCCATAGCATTATTAATTTAAATTTTGTGATGAAGTGCAAAAGCCTCAGATTTGTGGCCTTAAAAAACAAGCCCTGAATTCTCCAGCAATAAAACACACGGAACCACCACCTGGGAAGCTCAGTTTTCCTGCTCTCATTATACTTACTTTTCTTTTTTATCTACAAGCAGATGAGAACTCACCATTTGAATTATACAGAATCTGCATAGTTTCAAACTCCAAAGTTGTGTAAGTTGGGTCCAAAACTTCACTGTAATTTGCCATCTCCATGTCCAGTATCGGTTCCGATACCCTCATCATTGATTTAGATACACACATAAGAGTGGCACCACAGGCCCAGAGTGTGTGATGGCTGTTGGGCTTTCAATCTGTGAGGGATAATCCAAAGTTAACTGTAACTGAGTGACTTATGTGCTACAGTGGGAGGAGCTGTAAAACTGTAAACTCCTTCAGCAGGCCATATTCTGCTTACTTCTTTTTCTTTTATGGTGTACGAAAGCAATTCATTGTGATAATGTTGGAATGCTTCATGAAATCACCTTATCTGAAGTGCTTAGTGGACTAACGTGATTTCCTAAATGGATTTCCAGTAGACAATAAATGATGTCATTAAGAGGATTAAAAATAGAAAAGAGAATACCTCTGATTTTGAACTGTCATTATAGCATCATTTCTCCCATTTAAGCGGCTGAAATCTCATGCCCCATGTTCTAAAAAAATGAGAATCACTTTACTGTTATAAATAGGGTAAGTCAAGACTGTAAGCTAACACTTAACATAAGCACTTAATAATTTCAAGTTTCCTTAGCTAACTTTATGTTGAGGAAAAACAAATTTTCAATTTGAAATGACAGGGATTTATGATATATTCCAGTAGAAGCCTGGGCATAGCCCTAATATGGCCTGAAACACATTCTCTTTAGTTATCAATCTATGAGTCAGTGTCCCTTGCATGTTTGTAAATGTTCCAAGGGCAGAACCAGTGCAGTTGCTAGTATCTTGTAGGCATTCGATAAGTAATTGTTAGACAACCACGGTGAGATGCTGGGAAGCTTGCCATGGCATGCAGCCTGAGAGCCCTTAAAAACTGCTTCAGGGAGGCCCCTTGGAAAAGATGTGCAGGAGGCTGAATACCAGTGTGCATTGAAGACAGGGTAGGAAAGAAAGCTAAATCCTCAGTCTCCATATTGGAGAGTCAATGGAGAACACTAAAACCGAAAGTACAAGAAGCAGCATGTCACTTAAAGTCATGAGGTAATAGTGGGGGGAAAAAAAGAAAGAAAAAAGAAGGCTAAAAGAAGTGCCTCTGAGAACGATGTCCGTTTACCTTTTTTGTTTTTTGTTTTGTAGAATTCTTGGGAGAAACTTTGTAGAATTATTTAATTCTTAAATCTACGTGCTTTTATAACTTTAATAAAAATAAAAACAACAAAAAAGACAAAAATAATAATAAATAAATAAATGTTACATGAATAAGGTTTCACATATTTCTACTTCTGATGTCAGTTACATTCTAGACATTAAACTGAACATATGTAGATTTACATGTTCCCATCATCAACTTTCTCATACATAACATTTATAAAGCACACTATATCTTTTATGTGTATGTGTGACAAGAAGCATTTAGAGTGTGGGGAAATTTAGAAGATAATATTCAAAGGTTATATTTTATTTCTGAGAATATGTTTATTGATTTTATCTTCCAAGAAAGAATTCCAGTCACATTTACATTATAAAGTCAGAATTTCATTTTCCACATTTGTTAACAATTACTGCAAAGTAATATTTCTTATTCAATTTCTTAACACCATAGACTTTGTGACTACTGTATCTTAGAAATTATTATATTTTTCATCAGGGAAGACTGGCCTCTTAAACTCAAAGCCATGTGAAGAAAATAGCAGAGTCATTTCAGCAGCCAGCGTCACTAAATCAAACAGGGATCACTGGAATAGTCCTCTTGCCTTTATATTCTGTAGGATTCTTAATTATGAGGATAATATTGGGGGGATAAATTTCAGGGACTGATTTTAGAAGGTTAACTGTAGTAGTTGTTTTTGAAGGGCACAACATGAAAATCCTGTGGTTTTCATTTACATGAAGTGGTTCTCATTTGTGGTGAAGTAGCACAGACCTGTTGTGTTTCCTATGTGAACACAAAGAGTGCATTGTGCATTGCCCACAGTCTTTCACATGCACGTTGTGACGAACCGATGCTGAGGTATGTCACCAATGGGAGTGTACCAACAGAAGGAAAAGAAGCAAAGAAAAAGGTCGAGAACCATTCATTTATAAGACTGCAAAACACTTAAGAGTAATGTGATAAAAAGAGAAATGTGGATATAGATCAGGAGAACAATGCTGTCATAGTTTTATTGGTCTACTCCATCCTGTGTCCATGGGTGGCATCACCATGGATCAGGGCACTGCACTCAAAAGTGGAAGGAGCTTTAAATTCATCTCAGCACAGATCCTCAAGTAGCCACTGGCAATTAGAGCTGGTTTTCAAGATGAAACACATTATTGTAAATTATTTTCTTCACTTTATCAAGTAAAAACTTGAGAATTTCCAGAAGATACAGAGGATTGAAATAGCAGGCATATCTCTTCAATGGGGGCAGTCTGTCTTAATGATCTTCAGATGTGGAAACTCCCACAGAATTCAGTCAGCCTCACTCTAGTGAAGGAAAGATTCTCTTTGTTTTTGTTTTGTTTTGTTTTTAATCTTCTAAGACATTACAAAGTAGAGTAGAAGTCCTCTTTTCTTAAATTCTAGAACTGGTAATTTACTGAACTAGTTAAGCAAATAAAATAATTGAAACAAAGAGTCATAAAAATGGTATATCTATACTTAATATGTATAATTGTTACTGTTTTGTTGGATAACCAAGACCTTTTATTTGAGTAAGAATCCAAATAAATGGATTTTTTCTTTTTAAATTGAAGTATATATAGAATATACATACATATATTCTTTTTCAGATTCTTTTCCATTATAGGTTATTGTAAGATATTGACTATAATTCCCTGTGCTATACAGTAGAACCTTGTTACTTACCTATGTTGTATAAAGTAGTGTGTACCTGTTAATCCCAAACTCTTAAGTTATCCTTTCCCACCCCACCCTGCTTTCCCCTTTGGTAACCATACATTTTTTTTCTATGTCTGTGAGTCTGTTTCTGTTTTGTAAATAAGTTCACTTGTATCATTTTTTAAGATTCCATATGTAAGTGATATCATAGGATGTTTGTCTTTGCCTGGCTTGCTTCACTTAGTATGATAATCTCTAGGTCTATCCATGTTGCTGCAAATGGCATTATTTCATTCTTTGTTATGGCTGAGTAATATTCAATTGTATATATGTGCCACATCTTTTTTATCCATTCATCTGTCAATGGACACTTAGTTTTCTTCCATGTCTTGGCTATTGTAAATAGTGTTGCTATGAACATTAGGGTGCATGTATCTTTTGAATTAGAGTTTTCTCTGGATATATGCCCAGGAGTGGGATTGCTGGATCACATGGTAACTATTTTTAGTTTTTTAAGGGACTTCCATACAGCTCTCCATGGCAGCCGCACCAATTTACATTGGGGATTGTTTATTATTATTATTTTTTTAATAAATCCCATACACTACCTTTGATTTCTTGTATTTTTTTTTAAGTGGAGAAAAAGTCAAAGGTATCTGTAAAGCAACTGGAATACAGAAGCCTTCTAGAATTTTATACTTTTTGAAATATATTTTAATCAACTTGCTTTTATTCACTTCCAAAGTACTTTCCTTGGTTTTTATAGGGAAATTTTTTTCTTTTAACCCTCATATTTCATTAGATTATGCAATATTTAACTAAATTATAGAGTAAAATAACAAGAATAAATGGCATTAATATGCTAGGTAAAAAAATACAAGTGATCCTTGATAACTATATAGAGTTGATGAGATGGTCAGAGGACACTGCGGCACTAATAACAATAGCCAAGGTGGAAACAATACAAATGTCCATAATGGATGAATGGATTAAAAAAAATGTGATATATAATGGAAAACTATTCGGCTTTAAAAAGGAATGAACTAGTGATACATACTACAACACGGATGAGCCTTAAAAACATTATGATAAATAGAATAAGCCCATCACAGAAATACAAATACTGCAAGATTGCACTAATATGAGAAATCTAAAATAGTCATCCTTATAGATTCAAAGAGAGGAATGGTGGTTGCCAGGGGCCAGGGGGAAGGAGAAAGGGGAAGTTACTAATTAAAAGGTTTAAAATTTTATTGAAGCAAGATGAGTAAGTTCTAAAGATCTGCCATACAACATTGTACCAGCCAACAATAATGTATAACACAACTTAAAAATTTATTAAAAAGGCAGCACTTATGTTAGATATTCTTAGCACAATAAAATCAAAAGATTTATGATGAACTGAATTACAATATGGGAAAATTATCAACCTTATTAGTAATCAGAGAAATGTATAAAAAAACAATGTTGGTTAAAAAAAAAAAAAAGATGCCTTCTACTTAAGGAAAGTAGCCTACCCTGGAAACTAAATTAGTATCTTCTACAAAGGAAGTTGAGAACCTGAGTCAATGCAGGGAGCTGGCTAAGTAGAGATTAGATTTTTCTCTTGAATTGATTTTAACATGAGATAACTTGTTTTTTAAAATTAACTTGTATTCCTCCATAAGACAAATCCCTCCTATCTACTTTTAAAATTAATTAGGCTTCATTCAGAATATTTTTGTTTGCTTAAAGAGGAGTAAGGAAGGACAATGAGGAGGGTGAGAAAGAAAGGAAATAAAGAGATAACAAAAAAAGAAAATGTCACAGAGAAATAATTTTAGTCATGGTTACTTTGGATTTTTAATAATGCATATCATAATCAAGCAAGTATCACTCTTTAGTGTTTTGTGTTTTCCCTTTCAATAGTGATTGTGACATTTTCATAACTTAGTAACTTTGATTTTTGGAAACATGTCACTTGGCACAATTGAACAAAAGAAAATTATACCATTTAATTGTACAGTATAAAATGTAGATGTGTAAAACAGTTATGGTATTTGTTTATATATTTTCATATTAAAATTCAGGTATTTCCAGTAAAGGGACAGATGAAAAGTCCAGGGAGATTTTCATAATTGCTTCATCAAGTACTTCTTATGGATAAATTCATTAAGGCTACATTAGATTAAAAGCTTAAATAGTCATAGGAAAAAATGTATTAATTTTATGCCTAGGTGATACAGAAATGATTGTCCTTAAATAAATGGGACTTATGTTGTTAAACCCTACCTTCAACATAATAAACTTATGAGTAATTTTAAATTTACTTCTTACTGTTTAATTGGGAGAATCATCAAATATTCATGCTACTTCCTAACGCAGCAATTTGTAATAATTAACATACATTTTCTAAAATAGAGATATATAAACTTAATCTACATTCAAAAATATAAATATACATCATAAACTATGATCTACTGAAAGCTCCTTAAACAGAGGTCACTTTGCAGTATCTGTTCTGTATGCTGAACAAAATGTTATTGTTTTTTAGTGTGATCTCATGGCTTGTAGGCTAAGATATACCTTCTTACTCCTAGTTAGGTCATATACCTCAGAAAGAAAGACAACATTATTTGTAGATAAAATGTCAGTTTTAAATAGCATAACTAATGTTCTTGAAAAATGTTAAAGCAATGGTTCCTTAAACTGGCATGTGAAATATGATATTTAAATTTCTTTAGAGCAACATAACAAGAGATGAAAACAACATAGGATTTAAAGAAAACAACTCAGTTCACTATTGACTGACTATTCAAGATAATAGCAGAAACATCGCTATCTTATCTGTAAGAATATTAAGCCTGTTAAATAGTTCTATACTTTAATTAAATCATTCATTCAGAGCATGATTCAAAATAGAAAACAGGCTAGTAAAAATCAATGTTATTCTCATAAAAGAATTTTCATGAAAATAATTTGGAATATTAACATTAAAACATTTTATTTTAAAGTTTTACTTAACAAAATTTGTTCTGTAAATGTATTCCTTTGAGATTACTTTTCATTACCAAAAGTACCAAAAGTACTATACTAATCCCAAAAGTAGTTTCTTTTGTTTCCATGTTCCACTTTTTCAACTCTGAAGATTACA